CCCGTGATTTGAATACTGCCATGTAGTACCTACATCAGAACGAATTTTCTTAAAAATTATACAATAGTTCAAAACGAAAATGGATTACATTTTTAGGTCGCAAATAGATCCATATAGTTTACCAAAGAAACAAAATGTTCTGAACAACCCCCGCACTTGAATTTCCTTGTAGGTAAATTTTTCTATAAACGACGATAGTTTAAACGAGAAAAGTTGCCTGTATATTCTTTAAACATAATCTACGTGCAACAAAAATTACATCCCCGATAGAAAGTGCCACCGGTGCTTTTCACCCAGAGCTGGGCAGAATACTTTCAAAAAGTATTTGAATACTAAATAGTAAATACTTTACACAAATCAAAGGTATTTGAATACTAAATACTTTTACGTCCAGCACAAGCGAATACTAGACACAGATACATTGAAAAGGATTCAAATACTTTAAAAAATAAGTATTCAAATACTTTAGAATGTATTCGAATACTTTCAAAAGTATTCTAATACTATCAAAGGTATTCAAATACTATAAAAAGTATTCGAATACTTGTCACTCAAATACATTAAAAATTTAAAATAGTATACTAGATAAAAGTCTGAATACTACTTAAAAAATCAAGTTATACTTTGCATGGGGTTAGCTTTTTTTGTATTTCTATTGTTATATACAAATTTAAGGGGAGTAAAAGCGTAATATTATTATTATATTATTATATAGGAGGTACCTACCAGGACCTGGTTTATACCAGTTATATCCTTGAATACGTGTACCAGTTTTAAAAGCGTCGTGCACATGATACGTAGGTACGCCTTTCTGAAATTAATCCTAGCGATTTTGCAACAGATCCATTTTTGACCATCCGTTTGTCCGTGTGCATGGAACTTGTTTAGAAACGTGCGATCGCTTTGAAAATTGGTACATATGGTCTTAAGGATATAAGAAAGGTCCCTATTGTTTTTAAGTTACGTAGACTGTCGAGTTCGGTATTCAGATGTATCGGATTTTTATATTTGATTTTGTGACAATGGAAACTTTCCCTATACATTTCTAAATTGTTCTCAAATATTTGAATAACTTAAAAGTACTGCCTTTTTTTGAGGCCGGAAAAAAAAATTGTCCGAGATCGAGATCGATCGAGAGTCCATCATTTCAAACAGTTCCAAGATTGGGCTACTATTTCAAAAGTTACAGCCCTTTGAATTTTCTTTCGAAATTGCTTTCTAGTCTATAACTTTTGATTGAGAAGTCTGATCGAAAAAGTACGAATTGTTTTGGATTCTACGCACCAAAATTAATAAGAAAAAGTGTTTTCCCGAGAAATTTTGGTGTAGTCGATTTTTGGTAAAAAAGGAAGGTTATACACTGCCTTTTTTTGAGGCCCGAAAAAAAAATTGTCTCAGATCGACCCGGAAAAAAATTTTCTTATAGAATGTGGCCTGTAGAATCCATAATTTCAAACAGTTCCAAGATTGGGCTACTAGTTCAAAAGTTACAGCCCTTTGAATTTTCTTTCGAAATTGGTTTCTAGTCTATAACTTTTGATTGAGAAGTCTGATCGAAAAAGTACGAGTTGTTTTGGATTCTACGCACCAAAATTAATAAGAAAAAGTGTTTTCCCGAGAAATTTTGGTGTAGTCGATTTATGGTAAAAAAGGAAGCGTTACACACTGCCTTTTTTTGAGGCCCGCAAAAAAAATTGTCTCAGATCGACCCGGAAATAAATTTTCTTATAGAATGTGACCTATAGAATCCATAATTTCAAACAGTTCCAAGATTGGGCTACTATTTCAAAAGTTACAGCCCTTTGAATTTTCTTTCTAAATTGCTTTCTAGTCTATAACTAGACTAAAGTCTACTAAAGTACGAATTGTTTTGGATTCTACGCACCAATAGTATATTAAGTATGGAGAACGGTAAGGGATTTTTACCGTTCGAAGACAATTGTTGGAGGAGGAGCGAAGCGACGACTCCAATTATTGTCTGAGAACGGTAACCCTTAACGTTCGACGTGCTTATAATATTTTTTGCGCGATCGAAATTAAAATTATGCAACCAATATAAATATGCACTAAGAAATTAACGAGCAGAATAAATCGAAATGATCGAAGTGGTATGGTGTACATCACTAGGTAACCAGTTTATTTGTCAAAATTGAAATTAATAATTTCATAAAAAGGTGCATGTGTCTGATGTAGTTTACTAGCTTTGTACTTCCTTTATGACTTTATGAGCGTCTTGCTATAGGAAACAACAGCACAAATTGTACGTTTAATGTACCTAACAATAATTAAAGATTAAATGTAATGTAAGACTGTTGATTTTTAAAAAGGCGTCGGTAAGTATTTTTGCTGTTCTGTTTTTAGATCGGTAAGTAATTTTGGCGTCGTCGTAATGATAGCAACTGGTAAATTCTACGTACTGTCATGGAAACACCCATGGTAAATAGTCAGAAATGACCGATCGCGCAAAAAATTAATAAGAAAAAGTGTTTTCCCGAGAAATTTTGGTGTAGTCGATTTTTGGTAAAAAAAGGAAGGTTAAGTATTCAAATACTATTCGAAGTAATCGAATACTTTACGAAGTATCCAAATACTTTGTGAAGTATTCGAATACTAAATATTTGTGAAAGTATTTGAGTTACAAAAACAAATACTGCCTCCATAAAAGTATTTAATTACAAAGTATTTGAATACTTTAAAGGATTTGAATACTAAAAAGTATTTACAAAATCGAATACTGCCCAGCTCTGTTTTCACCCATCTTATTGGCACGATCATCGCTGCAGCCTGATATTCTGTGATTCTTCAAGGATTACGAAGGGTAATTAACACTAAGCGGAGAGAGATGTCGTTATCAGGCATTGTCCTCTATCCAGCATCCGCCCCAGACTTGATCTCCATCCGATTTTAACCACTTTGCTCAGGTGAAACATTTTGGCATATAGGTATAAGTACAACAAGCTGCAAATCAGCGTAGAAAGATGGTTGAAGCATAGCCGGCTGCGTTATATAAGGAGGGTAAGTGGAGTGAGTCTCTGTACCACAGCACTACAAGTGTCTAAAGTCGAAGTGTCAACTATGGAAAGCTGAAATGTGTAAATAAACGTCAGAAATAAAAAAGTTTAGATTGTTCACCACTGGTTTCAACTTAGTGACCAATCGGACCTTGCAAAAATTCCTCGTACATCACCCGCAATTGAATACTTCTATAAGTAATTCAAAATGAAAAAAGTTTTTAGAGGCCTGTACCAAAGAAACCAAAATTTGCTGTATCGGTAAATTGGTTATGGGATTAAACTTTGTGAAAATTACTATTGCTTCCTATGTGAATTTACGTCCATCCGTTACTGAAATCCTAGGGGCGAACCTATTTTGTGTAACAGTTATTTATTCAATAACTATATTTAAATAATTATGTTTTCTGCCAACTAAAGAAAATATACGCACCTTTAGGAGATCTTACTATACATTATTTTAATAGCCAACAATTGAAGAATTGTAATGACAGGGTATTTTAGATAACAAGCGAAGTAGCTAATTAAATGAGTCCTAATTGTTATGGTGTGCTAGTTGCACGACGCGTCATAGGCTCATGCACTCTAAAAGCTTAGGAATATATTCGGATATCGGCTAGAGGTTTTACCTTACTAGTACTTCCAATGCTCTACTCAGCATCCCTTACGATCGTGATCAGAACGCGTACCCAACTTAACATTTATCAAATAGGGGTTGCGTTGACATTTTACTTTTTCATAATTAAGGATAAGGACTAGCATAAAAGATGATTTTTATACAATAAACAAATGCACCGCTAAAGGAATTAATTAGAAGGATTTGGGTTAAAGAAAAACGTTCAGTATAACGTATATAAGTTCAAAAATAATTATTAACGTTCGTTTCTCTAAAAGGGATGACCCAGCATATGCTATGTTTTTTCTTCGGGCACAATCAAGCGCAATACTGCGATTGGCACATAACATTCCGTTAGTGATGCTTTTATTGCCGTGCTAACTTCATGCACCTATAAGAAGTAAGTAGCATTGAGTAATTAAATTCACTCAACATAGGTAGGTACCCCGAAGGACCAAAATATCGCATGCCTTTAGTATCTCAAAAGCTTTGCTAAAGATGCCTACACCACTCAGCCTTTATCTTTGGTCCTCTGCAAACAACAGTCGCTATGTGACACACACTTGCCGAAACACAACCTTTAGGATGCATGCGTATAATTTCGTTATGTTGTCATCTAATCATGCGATTATTACCATATAAGTACGATTTCGGCGGATTACTCAAGGGGTCAAGTAGATATCGTTGGTCAGTTAAAGTACGTATCCATAGAGCTTTTATCACTTTGCAATATGCTGTTAATTGAATGTTTTGGATTTCCCTTGTCCGAACTTTGCACATGAATTCTATCAATTTTGCATAACTTATAGTACGATGTAGGTTAAAGTCTAGTAGAATTACCGATAAGATCATTGTAATTGGAATGTACTTAACTTGCATACCAAAGCAACTTATTTCTGCTATACCAATCGCTTGCCATGCAGGTACAAAGGTAATAAAAGCAATGTAAAGGTGACAAACTTCGTGAATGAAACGGTGTTTCAAAACTGAACTTACTATATCATTCTTCTGTTGGGTTTAGAATGTTTTGCAGTTGAATTCTTCCTTTCGATCCATTATGTTTTGATCTTTTCCTGTATTTACAAGAGCAAGAGCACACGTTATCAGATACCTACTTACTTTCCAGATTATGGGTGTACTACTACTAATACCGTAAAAATTTAAAATCAAATGCTATCTACATTATCGTTACCATCTCAAAATAGTTAATCTATCGTTATCGACATTTTAGAATGTGCGAAAATAATTACTGGCAAAAATTTGGGGAATTTCGCTCTATTTCATCTAAATGAGGTATTCACGGCATTCCTAAATTAAACGTCCACGAATATGAGCGCAATAGTGAAAAAAAAGTTGGACATTGAGAAGTGCGCAATCGTTCGCCTGCCATGACTCAAAAACTCGCGGCGCGGCGTTTGGAAAATCAGTTAGCTCACAGCCACCTCGAACGGGAAATCGGTGGTTTCACATTGAACTTGAGCGCCTTTAACATGCCATCCGAAAGAACGATCTACCACCCTAACCCTAGTGTATTTAAAAACGCGCACGTGAATTCCTTCGACCAATACGTGGACCTTCACAGACATTCGATCGACAAACCCGAAGAATTTTGGGGCGAAATTGTGAAACAGTTTTATTGGGAAACCCCCATTAACATTGACAAATTTTTCACGTACAACTTCGACTTCCGTAAAGGTCCAATTTTTACCAAATGGTTCGACGGGGCGACCACCAACATTTCCTACAATTTGCTCGATAGGAACGTCCGCAATGGAAACGGTGACAAAATAGCATTTTACTGGTGAGTTTTATTTATTTTGATCGTCGCGTGCTTTGGACATGTGCAAGCGCAAGTGGTCGATGAGACGTTTTATTGATTCCCCGCACGACTTGATGGTGCTCCTAGACTTTGTCTGTCGGACCAAATACAAGCATTTTGGTTAATTATCAAAGGTTAATCAATACCACTTTTATGTGTAAATTGAATGGCTCATATGGGCCAATTTTAATTTTATGAGCATAATTTCCGCATGTAAAACAGTTTGTCAAGGTATTTTTTTCGCAAATTGCTTTAATTTGGAAATTCTGTGCAACAGGCAAATTCCCAATGTTGAATTCTGAGGAATTTACCATAAAATCCCACTAAATACTTAATGGGAGCATATCATGCAGTAAAAAGACTAGTCGTAATCATAGGAATTAAGTTAGAATCGGTCAGCCGTAAAGATCCAAGCGTGACGATAATAGGGAAATTTTAATTACACCTTGGGAAACATTTTTCTACATTTTTCAATTATGTATACTTTGCGCCTTATTATTATCGTTTCACTGTATTCATCCATTATATAAGGTAATCATCAAAGCAAAAGTATTTTGTATTCAATTACCCACTGTAAAAATAAAGATAATAGGATGTCATTTGCTTATCGTAATACTACTTACCTAATAAAACTAACAAATTTTGCTAACCATAATAATACAAAATTGCTTAGCTACTTAAAAAAATGACGCCTTATTTGGATTCTGGCCAAACAACAAAGGTACCTTCATGCCAGTCGGCAACCATCATAAAGTAAATTACTATCACATTTATTATTTACTTAAGTATTAGAAACATGTCTAAAAGTAGGTCAGACCTAAACCTTGGAATAGATGTAAAGACAATGTAAGACCTAACACTCCATTTTCAACGTTGACCTTTCATTTAGTAAGGCTAACGCAAAATCTCAATTAGACCCCCAAAAACATCTCCTTTTTCACTTTCACTAACCTCCCGTCATTTAAATAAAGCGGAAATTTTGACCCGCATTCCATAAGTTTGAATACAAAGAGAATTGCAAGTCAAAAGTTTAATTAATACGACCTTCTTTGATGCAGGGAAGGTAATCATCCCGATGACTACAGTCGGCTCACGTACAAAAAACTTCTGGAAGAGGTTTGCAAATTTGCAAATGTACTCAAAAGCAAGGGGGTCAAGAAGGGAGACCGCGTCGCTGTCTACATGCCAATGATTTTGGAATCGGTCGTTACTCTTTTGGCCTGCACGAGGATAGGGGCGATTCATTCGTTGGTGGTAAGTAGGATACTTGATCTCATCGTGAAGTTAGCCTCCCAACTTCAAAATAAATACTCATTTAGACACACTTCGATTCTCTAAGCAAACCTGCTAGAGAAATAAATTGTAAGGAAGGAGACAACTTCATAATAGGCTCCGTTTTTGAAGGATGTCTTTGGCACATTTCGTAAATGGTGTAGCCGGAAACGACGCAATGGGGGATGGAATTAGGGGGAGAGTATTACAACAAGGAGCTTTCAATTTCCAAAGAACTAATTTAGCAAGGGTATAATCAATAAATATTCATGAGCATATTTAGCAAATGCTGTATTGACCCCACGTTAAACGTCATTGGAGCTTAGGAATTCATAATACAGCATGTACACATTAATTCAATTAAAACTTTGTAGTCAATACGTACTTTTTGGACATCTCAGGGATGACGTTCTTTTGGCAAAGTCATTTGGGACGAAGGTATGTGTGCGTTATCGATCTAGTTACCAATAATTGATTTAAGCGAGGCATAGGGGTTCTATACAACGGGACCTCCGGAATTAACCCAAAGTCAGTATTTTAAAAACAAAAGCAGTTGAGCTATCCACTTTCACCCCTTTCTCCACATTCTGACGAGTTGGCTATGGGCTAGTTCTTCTGCTGGTATTATCACTTACTATTTAATACTACGGATTTACGTAAATCGTTTTCAATTACACTTTTTACTTGTTACATCTCCCCTTGCGAAGAATAAATGTGTCTTGACCTTTGATATTGGGTTAGAGGGTTAACTTGACAAAACTGCCCCTACGTACTTTATACTTAACCGATGTGATTCGCAGTTTGCGGGATTCTCAGCTGATTCCTTTGCTGATCGGATACTGCACTGTGGCGCTCGAGTTCTGGTAACCGCGGATGGAGTATGGAGAGGAGAAAAACATTTAGCGCTAAAGAGCATCTGCGACCAGTCTATGGAGAAGTGCGCGAGGAAGGGTCACAATGTCGAACATTGCATTGTCGTATCTCATTTGGGCAGAGTAACTGCGCCCCCTAACGCACCCCAGCAACACTTTGTCACCCCGATGAAAAATGGTCGCGACGAATGGTGGCAAGATTTAATGGAGGACGCCTCCTCACTTTGCTACCCTGAATGGATGCAAGCTGAAGATCCCTTATTCATGCTCTACACTAGTGGCTCCACCGGAAAACCAAAAGGGGTGTTACACACAACGGGTGGTTACATGGTTTACGCAGCAACCACCTTTAAATACGTCTTTGATTACAAGCCCAACGACGTTTACTTCTGCACAGCCGATGTTGGTTGGATCACTGGACACACCTACCTGGTCTATGGGCCTTTGGCTAACGGCGCAACGTCAGTAATGGTAAGCCCACCACCATGTTGTACACACCTCACTTGTCTTGTAGTTTGAAGGCACGCCATTCTACCCTGAGAACGATAGATTTTGGGCGGTAATCGAAAAATACAAAGTCACCCAGTTTTACACCGCCCCCACCGCAATACGAGCGTTAATGAAGTTCGACAGCGATTTGGTAAAACGTCACGACTTGTCTAGCTTAAGGGTACTTGGTTCTGTCGGAGAACCTATCAATCCGGAAGCATGGATGTGGTACTACAAGGTTGTTGGAAACGAAAAGTGCTCCATTGTTGACACGTTTTGGCAAACCGAAACGGGTGGACACGTCCTGACCCCTCTCCCTGGGGCTACGCCGATGAAACCCGGCGCTGCCGTAAGTATTCCGATCAATCTCTTCAATTTAACCGCATTGTCTTCTCGCAGTCTTTCCCGTTCTTTGGCGTACAAGCCGTCCTATTAGACGAGAATGGAAAGGAAATCGAAGGTGAAGGCGAAGGTTATCTAGTTTTCAATCGCCCATGGCCTGGACTAATGCGGTCACTTTACAACGACCACGATCGCTATGAAGACACCTACTTCAACAAATTCCCCGGATACTACTGCACAGGAGATGGTAATTGCAAATTTCGCGTAAAATAAAGTTGCTTAACCACGATTTCTTAAGGTGCCCGAAGAGATGCGAGCGGATATCTGTGGGTAACCGGTAGAGTCGATGACATGCTGAACGTTTCCGGTCACCTGATGTCAACCGCCGAAGTCGAATCCGTGCTAACTGAATATCCAGGCGTCTCGGAGGCGGCGGTGGTGGCAAAACCGCACCCTGTAAAAGGAGAATGTCTGTACTGCTTCGTGACGCTGACTGAAAACACAAGCTACAACGAAAAACTCCTGGGCGATTTGAAAAAGTTGGTCCGGGAAAGGATCGGCCCCTTCGCGCAGCCCGACGTTATCCAAAACGCCCCCCAGCTGCCCAAAACGCGCTCGGGTAAAATTATGAGGCGGATTTTGAGAAAGATCGCAGTCAATGACCGCGATGTAGGAGATATCACCACACTTGCCGACACCAATGTGGTGGAGGAATTGTTTGCGAATCGCCCTATTGCTGCTTAAACTACTAGATAAGTTTATTATTTATTTGTTTAGCCTTAATTACTTTTCAACGCACCGATAAGGGGCCGATGGTAGAAAGTTGTGTGTTCATTAAATACTTACAGTATTGGTCCTTTCACTCACCACGTATTAGCAGGACTAGAATGTGAGGGGTAAACGACATGACATGATCAGCGCACGATGTAATATCAGCACAGAAATGCTGGTAACATATATGCTTCTACTTGTGTATATAAGTGGTAAGAGTAAGTTTGTAAATAAACTTGCCTTCGTTACACATATCAATGTACCTAAATGTAAAATATGTATCATATTTTTTGAATTTTGAAGACATTTTGTTGCTGCCATGTTAAATACGAATAAAGAGTATTTTAAACAATTTTAATAAAATAAAGCAGTCTGGTACTGTATGGAATTATTCATAGTGGTGATGGCATTAGTGCCAGCTCTCCCCACTACATTCTCCCCTTTGATAAAAACATATTCCTAAGAATTCCACAAGAAGGACCGTTATCCCACGAGAAAAATTGATATGAGGTTTTGCAGATCCAGAAACTTCAGACTCATATAGGAATCTCGGTTGGTATCAATTCTCCTATTGGTAACTCGAAATGGGGTGAAATGTTAACCGAAGTTGAAAAAATGTTATTTACAAGACCTTCCCCATAAAATTGTAATTGAGTTTATTTGAACGGCGACATGTTTAGGCTAAAAGCCATCATCAGGCCCTAAAAGATGTAGCATAACAAATTGGAGCTTAACCTAAGGCGACGAAACTTACATGAACAACGGTAGAGAAAATCGGTTAAACCGGAACAATTTAAACATCACAATTCCCCAAAAGGGGGAAGAGGACGACACAAATAAAAGATCTAATGTCTTGAAGGGAACAGGAGACCGAAAAGTACAAAAAGGAATCAATGGAAACTGGACATCTAAAATAGAAAATTGAGTTTTAACCTTTTACAATATCAAATCAAACCTTTTACAATATCCAACCATATTTTGGTGTAGTTTCCAATTTTTCTGGATATAACCAGAAAAAGGTCACCGTCCCAAAATCTCCCTGTAGATAGCATTTGTATAAGAACATATAAGAGTGTAGGAGAATTAGCTCAAAAGGCATTATTCATAAACACCAATATTCATAATTTTTAAGCAATTGTTGTTTATTGACACTTGACAGTTCAGTATACAGTATAGTAATAATGGAAAATAATTTAGAAGAATTCTTTGCAGTTTCCCTGGAATTAACAAAAAAAGCCGGAACGGTAACCAACTTTTTTATCTGATTAATAAACCTACCTGTACTGATAAATTGTAGTTAATTAGAGAGCGACTAAATGAGAAAAAAACTGTCGAGACCAAATCCTGTGACATAGACTTTGTAACGGAAACCGACAAGCAAGTCGAAAAGCTTCTCATTGAGGGATTAACCGAAGCTTTCCCAACACATCAGTTTATTGGAGAGGAAAGCGTGGCGGAAGGTGCCCAGTGTAGTCTCACCGATGATCCGACGTGGATTATTGATCCAGTAGATGGAACCTTAAACTTCGTACATGGATTTCCGCACTCTTGTATATCTGTAGGCTTATTTATAAACAGAGAACCGCAGATTGGAATTATCTACAATCCCAATTTGGAGCAGTTGTTTACAGCAAAAAAATCTGAAGGTGCGTTTTTAAATGAGAAAAGAATTCACGTTTCAGATACAGCATCTTTGTCAAACGCTTTGATTGCTTTTGAAAATGGAACAAGTCGTGATCCAGAAAAGTTGAAGGTTTTATTGGAGAATTACAAGGCACTAGTTCCGTTAACGCAAGGGTAAGTTGGGCATTTTTAACATTATTTGCAGTTTCTTTTGCAGAATGAGAGCACTGGGTTCTGCCGCTTTAAATATGGCTATGGTAGCTATGGGTGGTGCAGACGCCTATTTTGAGTATGGTACTCACATTTGGGATATCGCTGCTGGGGAGTTAATTGTGAAGGAGGCGGGAGGTGTTTTTATTGACCCCTGTGGGGGTGAGGTTGATCGAATGTCACGACGTTTTCTATGTGCAAGCACTAGAAGCCTTGCTGATGAGCTTTCCAAAAATTTAGTTCAATATTATCCCATGCCTAGAGATTAATTGGAATTATTTATGTTTAATTTTATCTGTTAACCAAAGCATATATTAATGTATTGTATTATATTAAATTATATCCAAAAGTGTTATACTTGAGCTTTGTTGCTATTTTAAACCTTCTTCAGAGGCTGGGTGTCGACCCAGGGTTGAGTAGACTGCAGCTTAGGTGGTCAAAGACGTCATAATTAACATATAAGGAAGAATTTCTTTATTGATTAATAAAATAGCTATCCACCCCCTTTGAACAGTCATTGCTGCAGATTCCGTTTAGAATCTAATTACTATCTGGGCTGCTGCACGGGTTCCATGTGGACCACTCCTATGACTGTTACGAAAGTTCTCCTGGATCTCACTGCACTTGTTCACAAATTTGGTATACGGAAAATCGCCAATATGACGTTTTACTTTCTTTAGACTTGTAACAGTTCTTATGGCGAGAGATTACATGATATATTCGAAGATCACTAATTATGTTCGTGACTGTATATATTGGCTTAGGGAGTTTTCAATGTTACTAAAGTACAGTTTGCAACTATCCTCTGCTGATAACCGCTGAGATAAATCAAAATGGCGTTTAACTAATTTTCCACTATTAATTAATTGATTTATTTATTCGGAGAATACCAAACAGCTGGCATTATTTTATACATTTTAATACTTATCCAGAATTTTGGAAAATATGGAGCCAGTGTTAGTAGTAATACGAAATTAGTGCAAACATTTATAACCTAACATTTTGTCTCATTCTAGTTCCTCTGGAGATTCCATTGATAGCCATAATAAAACCTCAAAAAGCGAAATGTCTGTTAAGAAACGTCATAAAAAGGAACACAAGCATAAGGAGCACAAGCACAAAAAACAGGTAGTAGATAAAGTTAAGAAACATAAAAAACACAAAAAGCATAAGAAGCGGCATTCTGAGAATGAACTCGAAAACGATCGGTATACGCCAGAAATATCCTCAGCAAAAATTGAAGTATCTAAAGTTAGTGATAATCATCTTACTAATGGTAAATCTTATTCAGGCATAGACAACAAGAAAAATACACCATCCAAAGCTGAAATAGATGCCGTTGTTAACTATGTAGGTGCCGGTTTAAATGAGACTCACTCTTTAGAGGTGATTTCTTCTGAGAGCGAGCTTGACCAACCTGAGGCAGACTGTGACAGTGACGCTATCGACGTTGCCGTTATTGAAGCTGATATGGATTTGGAGGAATTAATGAGACAGAAGGAACTGTTACAAGCAGAAATAGCCAAAACCAGTTCGGAGATTGTTGTAAGTCCTACATCCAATCTTCGTCACACCCACGATACTGACGAGAAACCAACTGATGAAGTTATATTGTTAGACGATTCCAGTAATGACGGGGTTCCGGAAATTAATCACAGAACAAAACGGCCGAAAAGTCGCGAACGAAGGGTAGTAATTAATCCGACTCCTATCAAGAAAAGACGTGCTGACACCAGAGAAATGGTTTACAACGATCATCAACGCTTGGACGTCTACCGTAGATCGAAGGATGCCGATCACAAATACAAAGATCGTAAAAATGATCATCTGAGAAACAAAGATAGGTACCAAGACGCTCGGGATAAATACAAAGATTTTTCACGGGATAGAAATTACCAGGACAGATCTAGGGACAGGTTAAAACGGCGATCGATTGACAGAGAGCGTCCCCGTGAGAAACCAGGGTACAGGGTGATCGACAGACGCTCTAGGGATAAATCCAAGGAGAGGGCGTACGATAGAGACAGACATAGGGATAGACAACTTAGGGATAAATATTATAGAAACAGTGACAAGAACGATAAGAAGCAAGTTAAGATGGACAAGTTTAAAGATTCTTTAAGTGAGGGGTTGCATAAAGATGTAAGTAGCAGTGAGAATGAGGTGGAGCTTGATATTGACATGAAGGAGGATGAAGAGGATGAACAACAGATAATTGCTAAACGTCGACAACAACGTGAGGAATTATTGAAGGTAGGTTTTGCATTGCTTGTGTCGGTTTTAGGTAAATATGCAAACAATGGTTTGAGAGAAAGAATATTTTTCCTCACATTACTTTTCTCATACACAGAACATTCTGGAATAATTTACATTAATAGCCCTTAGTCCTACCCATATCCAAAGTTTTCTTGCTGAAACTTGTTGAGGGGGGTTAGTAACTAATAAAAAAATTTCCATCAAGTCATTAATTACAACCGCGGTTTTGATTTGGACGCGCAATACGGTTGGCACCATGTATCTGGATGCAAGTAGTTGTGTTCAACAAATTTATTGTTGTTAACAGTTGGCAACATTTTATTGTCTGGTCTGTACTTAGGTTAATGGGCAAAGTTTTGCGGGTTTGTGTGAATAAAACATTCTTTTATATCCTTGCAGTTGTTCATCCTTGGAACACCCTTGACAGGGGAAGTGGAAGAGGATTAAATCTTTCAGAGTATAATTCATATAGTAGAACCTCAATATTTCAGACCTCAGCATAGTCTGGACCAGATTTTGTGTATGTGCACAATATAAAATACTGGAAAGGTAAAAATGAAAAAAAAGCACTCAGAGAAAATTTTATTTTTTTTAGCTCAGATGTTCTGTTGATGAAAAGTGTTTTTTAAGAGGTTTTTTAAATTTTTTTATTATATTGTAATCGTAGCTGTACAGCAAAGCTTTTCAAGAAATTGGGATGGAATATTCAGGGTTGGAAAAAACCCCGGTTTTTGTATAAAAACTCATTGCCACACGGCGAGCGTGATGTATTTTAGTATTTTTAGCGCATATTCCAACTATTATGGCCACTTTCTCCGTCTGTCCGAGGTCTTAACTATTCCTACAGTTTTCAAGATATTTAGTTCATTCTTTTTGCATTCGTTAGCTTACACCGAAACCAAGAAAAATCTTGACGATTAATGTGCGTATGCACAGACTGTGCAATGACAACTTTTTTATTTATGGAGATTTTTTTAAACTAACTACAGATGCTTCTAGTAAAGACAAGCATATCGCATATTTTAAACATCAGCTGCGCAGATTCTAATTTTTATTTTTGCACTTGAGAAACATCTAAAATAAAATTATTTTAAGAATTCAAGAAGTAACACATGATAAAAAATTTTCGGACATTGCGTAATGTTATTTTGTTTTTCTGTGTAAATTTTAAATAATCCTAACTTGGCAGATTACAATTTTTATTTTTGCATTGGGGAAACTATGACGCGCCGTTCAGGACATAAATACATTTCTTGAATTTATAAAGTTTTTGCAATATATATACTGTTTTCATGAATATATATAGATTTTGGCTAAATATATATTTTAATTCGTAAAAACACGAATATAAAAATGTTTGATTATATATACTTTTATATATATATTTGTGCACAGAAAACTTATAAATTATATAAAGTCTAGTTCCCACACTAGCCGCAAGGAGCGCCACATGCTTAAAAATTGTCTCGCGAGGGTTGGCAACCTCGCACTACGTTATGAAATAAAACAAATGTATTTTGTTGTTCGCTAATCGAATCGCTAATTTACTGTAGTTGATTAACGTGTCTTTGTGATTCTATATTTTTCAAACCAAAGACCTACAACGCTGCGTTGAACTGTACAATTTTTACATCTGAGCTCTCCCGTGTTTCATCTTCCCAACATTATTTGAAACATGCAAAACATCTAAGCTATAAGCACCATAAGAACTATTCCTTTGTTCACAATCTAAATTCTCAATCCCTGTATATTTCATTATTAGTTGTTCACAAATGTTATACAGGTATTCCTTCAAGTTGGAATGTGTAACATGGGAATACAATATATACAAAACTATATAAAAATCCTCAATTTCTAGTAATTTAGGACGTACCTAATACTTCTATGTCTCTGGTACATATACTTTGTGAAACAGTATCGCAACAAATTATTAAAAATGTCGTCGATTGTCCCAAATTCCATAATTGTTCACTATAGTACAAGCAGCCGCACGCATATATCTGTACAATAACTAATGGCAAGGCAATCCCCTCTTTTGTTAAAACACGGATTAATTTTTGGTTATATTTAACGTCGTGTTTTGTTTACATTTTAAACGTTAGACGAGGTTGCCAAACCCTCGCGAGACAATTTTTAAGCATGTGGCGCTCCTTGCGGCTAGTGTGGGAACTAGAGTTTATATAATTTATAAGTTTTGTGTGCACAAATATATATAAAAGTTGTAACGTACGAAATTATATATATTTTTAATCAAACATTTTTATATTCGTGTTTTTACGAATTAAAATATATATTTAGCCAAAATGTATATACCGGGTGTCCACTCTCAAAGTCGAACATAGGGAATTAATATGTGTATTCAATTCGTAGTCTTTTGGCAATTATTTCTATAATACACCAATATAGTATGTTAGCAATAAAGGCTTCGAACGATTTTTATTAAAAATACACAAAAATACTAGTAAGGAAAAACAAATTAAAGTAAATATTCAAATAACCCCCCGTTTTGAGCTAAGCAATATCCCAGTCGGTTGTAAAAACTATTTCGCACATTCGCTAACTCCCTGTTAGTAATTAACGCGCATTCAGTAACTATAGCTTCTCTCAAAGAATTAATATCTGGGTGGCGTCTTTTATAAATTTTACTTTTAAGGTGTCCCCACAAGAAGAAGTCGCAAGGTGCCAAATCTGGAGATCTGGCTGGCCAATTTATGGTACCACTTCTACCAATCCAATGATTTGGAAATGAATTATTTAAAAAATGTCTAACGTTTAAACCAAAATGCGCAGGACAGCCGTCTTGTTGGAACCAGATCTCCTGATTTTCTCTTGCAACGTCTTCCAATGCGGGTCCTACCTTTGTTACCAAAAGATCTAAATAGGTTTCTGAATTTAAGTTTCCTTCAATTTCAAATGGGCCGATAATATTATGATTAAAAATCCCAGCCCAGATATTAATTTTTTGAGGATACTGAGTTCTGGTTGAAATATTAAGCCTAGGGTTTTCCTGAGCCCAATGACGTGTGTTTTGAACATTGGGTTCATTATTGAGGGTAAAGGTACACTCGTCTGTGAAGCATATCGACGATAGAAAGCGGCGATCGTTGTTAGCGCGCTCTTGTATCTCATAACAAAATGCACTCCTACTTTCTTCGTCAACATAAAAAATCTCTTGATGACATTGTGGTTTATAAGGGTGATATTTGTATTTCTTTAATATCATCCATACCCGCGACTTACATAAACCAGTTTCATGGGAAATTTGCCTCAAACTGTACGTTGGGTCTGCATTTATCATCGCCAAAACTTGCTCTTCTGTGCGGTCATCCCCTTGTCGATATCCTATGATATGATGTCATTTTAGAACATGTTTTAAAATAAAATTTGTAATGCTCACCACCCCTACTTTCTGATTCTACTGAAATATTTGCCTGATTTTCAAATTTTTCTACATATTTTTGTATGGTACTTGCTGATGGTATCGGTCTCGTATTAAACGCAACGGCAAACAAATCTCGAACTCTTCGCAAACTAACACCGCTATAAAAGGTTTTTACCATAAAAACTCTTTCTTCGTTGGTATAATTATTCATCTTTCCGTAAATTCAGTTTCACAAAAGCGTAAACGTCAAATTTTTATTGATAAACAAACTGTTTCAAGCCTACTATGTTTTGGAAAATACTGTCGAATTTTTAATCAAAACGATTTAAAATTTTTCATTACAATTTCAATTTTTAGTCTTGTTGTTAGTATCAGTGGATGCGCAATAATTTTCTCTTTCCAATGATACCATTCCCTTTTCTGTAGAATAAGTTGGCGAGCAGAAATCCGCAAAAACGTTCAACTCCATGTTAAATCCCTATGTTCGAGTTTGAGAACGGACACACGGTATATTCATGAAAACAGTATATATATTGCAAAAACTTAATAAATTTCAAGAAATGTATTTATGTCCTGAGCGGTGCCTCATAGGAAACAGCAAAATTCAAATATCAAAAATTCAAAAAGCAACACATGATTCAAATGGCTTTTGGCATTTTGTTTTCCTGTGTGAATTTTGAGTAAACCGAGCTTGAAAATTAAAAATTTTTTGGCATTTTGTTAAATAAATAAACAGCAACATTCAAATTTCAAAAATTCAAAGTATAGTTTGTAACCCAATTTCTCAGTAGCGCCCGAGGGATAGCCAAAAGAAAACGGTTAACATTGTTGCACTTCTACCAACTTAATCAAAATTTTCTGCTAACTCACTTGTCTGTTGTGTTCTTAAGGGAGATGCATCGAGTTCCACCTCACAGCCAACACTTTTTTCTGATTTGGCGCGAATTTCTTATACCTTTTTTTTAAATGTAATTAACTCGATAGAGGATGAAAAAGGTGAGGGGTAGTGTAAACCCCTTAATTAAATACTATACCTATAATTTATATGGGCGTTTATTGAACAGTAATTGCCCGATCCATTTATCTGATTCTTGAGTCCACGTCTTATCATTTGTATTTATTGGATAAGATGGGGTAATTCCCTTTTGTCATACATGTGAATCAATATGTTACTAATACCATATGGTTTTCATGGTTTGTATAATTTGCTGAATGGTTATTGCTAAATTCACACTAAATGTACAAATCTATTGGATTTAATGAAAAGACTATGGTAAGGGGAGTAATTTTGGTAAATTTTAGCGTTTGGGAGGAATGAGCGAAGACTCCAATACAGCGACATCTGTAACAACACCAGTGTTACAACCGCCAGCTGCAGAAACTCCCAAGGAGGAAGTAGTCATAGCTCCAGAATCCCCACCACCACCACCGCCGCCAGCGCAAGCGCAGCCAATAAAAGAATCCACCGAAAGTAATCCAGAAGAATCATTGACGCCACCTCTTTTACCAAATATGAAAGCAATGGCTGTGGAAGTTAAAACGGATAAAGAAGCGAAAACCAAAAAACCGGAATGGGACATGTTTGCGGATGATCACTCCTTTAAAAAAGAACACAATGTAAGTTACCGCCCGACTGTCGGCCTTACTTACAACAGTGGCGCCCTTTTCAGTCCCCAAACACCATCGTGCGCAAAGGAAACGAAATCGAAAATCCCGCCCTCACCGACAATTGGGACGACGCCGAAGGGTATTACAGGGTTAGGATCGGAGAAACCTTGGACTCTCGATATATCGTATTCGGCTATATCGGTCAGGGGGTATTCAGCAATGTAATCGTCGCCAGAGACCAAGGCAGAGGTAATCAGGAGGTCGCAGTGAAAATTATTCGGAATAACGAAATTATGTATGTTTTAACCATGTTGCTCCCCCCTAGATAATTTGCAATGTTTTAGGCATAAAACTGGTATAAAGGAACTGGAGGTGTTAAAAAAATTAAATGACGCCGACCCCGAAGACCGGTTTCATTGTTTAAGGTTGTTTAGAAGTTTCTTCCACAAGCAGCATTTGTGTTTAGTATTCGAACCGCTATCCATGAACTTGAGGGAGGTTTTGAAGAAATATGGAAAAGATGTCGGACTTCACATAAAAGCCGTTCGTAGTTACACACAGCAGCTTTTGCTAGGGTTGAAATTGCTTAAGAAGACTGGTATTCTTCACGCAGGTAATTCTCCCTTGCAATACTTCAGGTTTACATTCCTTTTTTTTAAGATATAAAACCGGACAATATTTTAGTAAACGAAAGTAAATTAGTATTAAAGTTGTGCGATTTTGGATCTGCCTCGTTAATTAGCGATAACGAGATAACGCCATATCTGGTGTCGCGATTTTATCGCGCGCCCGAAATTATCTTAGGGATTCCGTACGATTTCGGTATAGATATGTGGTCGGCCGCTTGTACCATTTACGAGTTGTACACTGGAAGAATTTTGTTTTCTGGCAAGTCCAATAACCAGATGCTTAAATTCTTTATGGATTTAAAAGGGAAATTTCCAAATAAAGTTATTAGACGAGGAGCCTTTAAGGAACAACATTTCGATAGTAATTGCAATTTTTTGTATCACGAAATAGATAAAGTTACCGAGCGGGTAAGTGTTTATCAAACTTTTTTATTTAATGTGTGTAGAGTTGCGTACTTCATTTGTTTAAACACAGCAATATATTACTTTTAAGATTGGTCTTTCGTGTTACTATTAATTTTATCTCACAAATAATTTCCATGGTAACAAATGTAATCACATGGTGTTGCCTCATTTATGTTTTAAGTGTTGCGAAATGCATACCTAACGAATTATATCCCTTCACCTAGGTAGGGATACCAAGTGATAGCATTGAAGGTTATTTGTTTAAATGCTCTGTTAGAAATATTTGCTACATTTGGATTTAATTTAAGCAAGATTAAGTCAAATTGTGCAGAGATAGGTAACCAGACATCATCGAGTTCTAAGTTATTGCATAAATAATAAACAGTCAGTTACATGGTGTGTTCACAATTAAACTTCCATTGTCAACTATGACGCTGAATTTTTTGAATTACTCAATACTTAATATTTTGATATATTAAATACTAAAAGCTTTCTTTTTGGTTGTCTAGGAAAAAATTGTAGTGATGTCAATGGTGAAAGCTTCCAGAGACTTACAGTCTGAGCTTGTGGCCGGTCAAGCTCTACCACCAGATCAGCTACGTAAGGTGACACAGCTCAAAGACTTTCTGGAGAAGGCGCTCTCCATTGATCCGGCTAAACGCATCAGCCTGAATAATTCGCTAACGCATCCTTTCATTCAGGATAGAATATGAGACAAGGTTTAGAGGTAAAAGTATTGGGAAGTCCCGAGAAGGCTTAGTTACGATACTATCACGACGCATAGCGAATTTTTTTTAAAAATACAATGATCCTTTATTATACAAAAGAAATTTTATTAAGTTAATTGAAGTTATTGTAAGATGGTATCACGTTATGTGAAAATTTTAATAAAAACGAAATCAGTACAGAGTGAATTTATACTCGTAAATGCATGGTCAGAACTTTATTCAGCAATAATTTTTGTTACAGAAAGCGGTGGAATTGGCTTTCCAAAACTGAACTAAGAGTCTCATTTGACAAGGTATTCTATGTGGGAGTATGCAGTATTGTAAAAGTAATACGGCAAAGAGTATATTTGGCACAATCAGTCATAGTACGATATTCCAAAAATGCTCTTTGCTAATCTTACAAATTTCGAAACACAATCTCCACTACAATTGTATATTGTTTTCCATTTAGATGGCAAGTGCAAGACAAGGAGAAGTACTATGATGGCATGAGCTTAAAAGAAGGCAATGTGGATGCAAGAGAGAGATACATTGTTTTTAGAGTGTCTGCCCTTTTGATTGCAGGGTACAATTCTGTTCATGCCATAGGAAACTCCATTATGGTAATTTATGAAAGTAATTTCTTTGCGTGCATTTAACATGACTTCGAGATTTAAACCTGAATTGAGTTTTAGGGCAACCAAAACTATCATAGTCTGTAAGAAATTACCCCAGTAGGTAAGTGAGCAATCTAAAATATGCAAAGCGTATTCGAACAAGTGCTGCGACCACATTTCTCTATTACTCCCTTAACTTACACTCCTCTGTACTGATCGAATTTTGAGGTGTTCGAGGAAAGGAGGTTGATTATACAGGATGGTATCGTCACTGTTGCTGTACAATTTTAAAATTGTTTTTAAAAGTTATTTTTGTATCATACACATTTGTCAAAGCATAATGATAATAAAGACTTTAAGCTGGCTAACTAGTTTTTTTTTTCTTTTTTAAGAAGAATTATATTGAAAATAAAACAGAACAAATTGGATAGTACATTTTTGCACCTAGATTTTATTAGTGTTGCAATTTTTTTCAATACAAATGAAGAGAATGGTGTCAAGTGCATACTGAAGTTGAATTTTGATGTATTTTTGAGAATTAGATCAGATCAGTTATCGAATCTTTTTTTGTATCGTTTGCCCTTTATCCTTCAGGGTAAAAAGCATCATACTTACCTATACAGAATTGATCTCTTTGCACCTGCCATTAATTAGGTCGAGGTATGTGTAAATTTACAGTCAAAATATTAGGCGAATACTTATTTCCCACCCACCTCTCATAAATTTTGAATAAGGAAAACGAATAGGTACGTTTAAAAATTATGTCCATTGTTTTGAAGATTCTTATGGGTTAATTTATGTAGATTTAGAATAACAAAAATGCTTAAATAATTATTTCTGGAATTTGCATTCTCTCATAACTTTTGCGTCTAAGGAAAACCACCTGGGTTCATGATCTATCGCAGGGGCGGACTGGGTAACTGCGGGCCAGGTGGAATGGCATAGGTTACTGGCCATTAAAGTTTAGTGTAGTAATGGAGGGGGGGGGGGGGAGGCTCTGGGGGGCACCACAAAAACATTTTAAAGGTCCTTTCTCGAAAATAAATTACCATGCAGTTTTTTTTTAAATTGCAGCTGATAATTAAAAGTAACAAAATATACAATCCACGCGAGGTGCGTCGCCTATCATTGTATTTCAGCACTTTCATGCTACGACAAAAAAAGATAAATTCATTGTAAAACACTTCAATTAAAATAGAATTTTTTAACAACCTAACATCAACCCCAATTAGAGAAACGTGTTAATAATTTATTAATAGTGCAAGAAATTAAATACAGCACATACTTATAAATTTCCAACGGTCCATGATGATCTACAGGCTAGGTGGCAATCGCCACCCCCCCCCCCCAGTCCGTTTTTTTCCGGAGAAATTTTGGTGCAGTCGATTTTTGGTAAAACAGGAAGGTAATAACTGCCTTTTTTGAGCCCCGAAAAAAAATTGTCTCAGATCGCCCCAGAAAAAACATTTTCTTATAGAATGTGGCCTGTAGAATCCATAATTTCAAACAGTTCCAAGATTGGGCTACTAGTTTAAAAGTTACAGCCCTTAGAATTTTTTTTCGAAATTGGTTTCTAGTCTATAACTTTTGATTGAGAAGTCTGATCGAAAAAGTACGAATTGATTTGGATTCTACGCACCCAAATTAATAAGAAAAATTGTTTTCCCGAGAAATTTTGGTGTAGTCGATTTTTGGTAAAAAAGGAAGGTTATACACTGCCTTTTTTTGAGCCCCGAAATAAAAATTGTCTCAGATCGGCCCGGAAAAAAATTTTCTTATAGAATGTGGCCTGTAGAATCCATAATTTCAAACAGTTCCAAGATTGGGCTACTAGTTCAAAAGTTACAGCCCTTTGAATTTTTTTTCTAAATTGGTTTCTAGTCTATAACTTTTGATTGAGAAGTCTGATCGAAAAAGTACGAATTGATTTGGATTCTACGCACCCAACCCAAATTAATAAGAAAAAGTGTTTTCCCGAAAAATTTTGGTGTAGTTGAATTTTGGTAAAAAAGGAAGGTTATACACAGGGGCGGACTGGGTACTTACGGGCCATTAAAGTATTAGTGTAGTAATGAAGGTTGGGGGGGTTAGCTCTGAGGTGCACCACAAAAACATTTTAAAGTACTCCTTTCTCAAAAATCAATTACCATACAGTTTTTTTTAAATTGCAGCTGATAATTAAAAGTAACAAAATTTACAATCCACACGAAGTGCGGCGCCTATCATTGTATTTCAGCACTTTCAAAATACTGCGACAAAAAATGATAAATTCATTGTAAAACACTTCAAATAAATCAGAATTTTTTAATAACCTAACATCAACCCCAATTAGAGAAACGTGTTAATAATTTATTAATAGTGCAAGAAACTAAATACAGCACATACTTATAAATTTCCAACGGGCCATTATGATCTACAGGCTAGGTGGCAATCGCCTCCCCGTGCCAGTCCGCCCCTGATCTATCGTCTAATTACAGTCCTGAAAACTTGGTACAATCCTTATAATCACTGGCAACCAGATTGTAAATGCTCTGCCAAATAATACACTTTTTGTTTTTGCATCAATTAGCAGGAAACGTTTGTTAATTACCTACACATCAGGATTTGAATTCGGGTTCAATAAACATATTGTCATAATAAGTAATAAGTTCAGTCCCCAGAGCTGCACAAACTCCTTTATAAAAAAGAACAAATTCTTCTAATTGAGAATAAGGATTATTGCTCATATTTTTTCAAAGTCTAAAGTTTCATAAGCATTTTTGAATTTTACACAGAGAAAAGATTTGGAATCTTTTTAAACCAAATGTGATACCAAATCGTCGTGGGCTAACTAATCCCATTTTATCCTGTTATTTTTAAAAGAGATGAAACTACACTATATAGAAAGAAACTTTATTACAAATTTTTTTATTACATAGTCATTTTTTAGGGGTCTACCACCCTTAGTAATAAATTTTTTGTCGAATAAGTTCCTTAGAAACGTATACTAGAAGGATATTTCTTAGAACAATAATATTAGAGAACCCTACTTAGGTACTAACATTTAGTAAAGCTAGTTGAAATGTGCCTGCATAGATCCGGATTGTTTTCCATAAGCGCTCTTTCTTGTTGGCCCACCATATGGGCTAAAACTTAAATCACCTAAAAAATGAGCAGTTTTTTACATGATCAAACGCTTTGTCATTTATTCAGGTGTAGCTATTTGTTCCATGAAAAAATGTGTATGTTAAAAACTTGAATTTAACATTTTTCAATTTTGGTACCTACGAAAAGCATTTAGGTCACTATCAGAAAATTACATTATGTCGGTAAAGTCAGCATTAAGCTTAGGTAAATGGTTCATATCTTCGAAGGTTCGGATTTTAAATCTTGCTACACAATGCTGGACACTTTTCGGATGCTGATCGTTGCATTTTATTTGAAGAAAATTCAGTTATTCACCCCACATTGAGAAATAACGTGTACAAGAACAGTGCAGGTCCCAGTATCATGGAGTACAGAATATAAGCCCAACACTGTATGTTTCAAAAATACCACACTAATAATCGATTTTTTGGGCCTTCTGCCATCTATCGGAAGAACCCCAAATCACATTTTTCAATTTTGGTCCCCCAAACTCTGACGTTTTTTTAATGTTTACACCCGTTCCAACAATTTCTTCTTCCATTATCACGAATGCTTGTATCCTCCCGGGCGGAGGTAATAGATCGCAAAACAATCACGTAATTTTTCATCAAATTAGGATTGCCCCGCAGGAAAATCACGCGTAGGGTTTTCTAATTTTAAACATTATATAAACGCACGAAATTAAGCATAATGTGAACATTCAAAAATATAACTGAGTGGGAGCGTTGAATTTTAAGAGGGAGCTCATAACGCGCCGTCGATGGAATCGTTCATTTGGATGCTCAACTTTGCGTAGTGTTTGTGGTGTACTGTTATTACTGTGTTATTAACAAGTAAGTGGTAGAGTGTTTTGATTATTTACCCCAAGCTTTCAGTGGAATCAATCCACACCCCTTCCTTTCAGCCTATAGCTTTAATTGGGACGGGATCAATTTTTATGAATGGGAACAGGAAGCGCGCTCGATGCACCCGGGCGTACTGACTTATGCTTCTGACTAATAATAGCGTGTGTTCTCAGATCTATCTTTAAACCAAGAGGACTTCGAGTTTAATTCGGGCTATTATTAATTTTTTTTTGATTTTTACAGAATGTCGTCGAGACGCACGATACTAAGCAGACCTCGCACGCGTTTATACGATTCGAGTTACAACATGGGCGAAAATATGTACAGACCGGCGTTGGATCGTCTCAATCGCAAATACACAGGAAGGCCATTGTCACCTCCGCGACGTCAAACGGCAGTACCCAACGAAATTTTAGAGCGTCACGAACGTGCCTTTATGGATGATGATTTAGAGAACTGTCGCCGACGAGCAGAAAAGCACATAACTGGAGATACCTTTTTTGACTCACGTGGGGCACGTTTGGACGCGCGCGATTTAATGAATAGCTTTGACGAAGAGGTTCGCTTATTTACATAATTAGATTCAAATTATTACTTGAGTTTGTATGTTACATTTTTGCCACGCAATACCAAAAACAAACTCATACCAGAACCCCGCACCACACTTTCTTTATTATGCTTGTGATTAATTTGAATTACCCTTATAGACCGTTTCGAAGATTAAGAGCATCAGGGCAAACAAAAAAGTGTCAATCATCGATGATGTAGATATGGAGAGTACTGTAAATAATATCAATGGTCGCCGTTTTCTGGATCGAACCGAAAAGATTTTAGATACTGTGGGTATCGTTAAAGAACCTCACATACGCGCGGTTCTCGATGACGATTTCTCGTACAGGGCTGCCAAAGACGTCCCTACGCGCAGAGCAATTGGTGCCGAAGTAGACTCTATAATGAAGCGAAGGTCTGTGGAAATCACTCATGAAGATGACGCTCGTGGCAGAGATTTGCACAAATGGTCCGCGCTCAATTTGGAACGCGACGAGAAAGTCGAAAACGCCGCCACCAGAGCAAAACAGACGCGCTCCCGAATGGAAGAACTAGATGAAGAGATGCTGGCGATGGCCGAAAGACAAGCCACGAGGGAGCGAAAAGCGGCCCGATTACGAGCACTCATTAACGAGGTAGCCGAAGAAAATGACGTCCTCCCGCCCATATCAGTTCGACGAGCCCTACGTGCTAGGGAAGAAGATGAAGATATCCTAGCTTAGATTTTTTTATTATTTAAGTAGAAATCGCCGGTGTTATTTGTTATTTCACAGTTTGGAGGTATGACATTTATATAGGTTTACCAATAATGATATATATGTATATAGGATATTCCACAATAAATATCTTTTTGAGGTCTTTATTACATCATTTGGTGAAAAAAATTTTTTTTTGGATATTCGCCAAATTGTAAATAGACAATCTTTCAGAGGATAAAAATATCTACGTGTTTCCGATCTATTTAACCACCCTGATTTATTTTTGCAAATGACACAATTTGGAGTCCTTAATTTGTGTTTCCGAGTCTTGCAACCCTCCTAACAGTAGGTGGTAAATACACATATTGCATCTGAAGCAAAGGGACATGGATTTGTATCCGATTTATCTAACCACTGCTACGCTTGTCAGCCAGATGGCGCGATCGACATCGAAAAAGCGACACCTAGGTATAGACACCTACTGTAAAAATTGAATTTTACAAATGACTCATTTTGACAAATTAATTAAATCTTTTAACGAAACTAATTATACACCGTTTCAGTTTGTCTTTCAGGACTTGTTACAAAGCAATTATTTTTAGGTAGGTAGTTGAGTAAGCCAAAAAGCGCTTCGCTAATTTAACTTAGCGCTTAAAGAAGCGTTCCGTTCGACTGAAGACCGCAAAGAGATTAGGGTAGTAAGTAATAATAAATCCAGGGCGCAGGGTAAATAATAGCAACGTAACAATTGCGATACGTGATTGGAACAATTGTTTTCATATGTAACGTAGCCTTTAACACCGGTAAGCTATTTATGTGGCCAATAAAACAACTGCCAACGTTGAATTGCCAATGTGACACGCGATTAATTTTCGAATTGACATTAAGAATTGAAACGGGGTTTTTACTATAAAAATTGCACAGCCACACACTACCATCACCATCCAACATTTACACCTTCCTACCCCATTAATATAAGAAACCCCTTGACATTTCTCCCAAGATCACGTTAACAATAGAATTGGAAAAAAAACATTACTATTTTCTATTGTAATTGGCAAGGTTCGGGTCAGCATGGAGGGGACGAGGGTCAGTTTAAAACGGTTGTGGTGCTAGATTATAGAGCTTTGTAAAGGTCTTTAGGACGTGTTGTGTATCGGACACCTTTAGTGAGTTGCTCTTATTCCTCTATCGGTTATAGTATATATTTGTATAGGTAAAGTGCAATGGATGACGAAGGTGCAGATTGGCTTTCCGAGGCGGTAAGCGAGGATGTCCCAGAGCCAGCACCAGCAGCTGCTGCTGCACCAGCACCAACTGAAGCGGCAGCTGGCAAAGCTGCCGACGATACTCCGGAAGTCGCAGAGGAATTACCACCAGAAGCGGAAGGTGAATATTTGGACCCAGATAAGCTTCTCCTTTTTAAACATTGGATAAGGTAATCTCCTAAAAACCTCTAAGTATCTTCAAACGTTATTTTTAGGCCCAAATTTCTTCAGTACAACTACTTGTACAACTACAGGCGCAATTACTACGACGATGTCATCGACTACCTGGATAAAAGGCAAAGAGGGTTGAGTAGAGACGTGCCAAGAGCTCAAACATGGGCGGAACGAGCTTTACGTACGTACACCGACAAACACAACCGCGAGGACTATTACAAGAGGTCTGCATCTGACATCAAACTCGTTACCAACTCCAAACTAAGTGGAACCTTTCATCGCTATCACTCCAAGCAATACGTTTATCGACGATATTTTTCAATTTTAGTGTAAAATACTCCCCAAAATATCACTAGCATTATTTAACCCATTTAGTCAATAAACATCCTACTTCTTTGTGTAAGTAGAACTCACTTGCGGAATGTTGGGCAAGCAATTTGGCAAAGGAAATTAAATCCCACCTAAATCACTTGCTGACTGGTTATAATCAAATTACGTGTACACAATTCTATTTACATTTATTAATTTGTTTCGTTAACGCGCCAAAACAACCGGGAGGTATTGTAATAAATTTCCCGTGAAGTTATACTGAAATAAATGTCGCTTAAAATTGGGAAAATCGATTGGGCGCCGCTATTTCTTGATAAAGATGCCAACCGTTGCTGAAACGTGTCCAGTTTTCCAAAGTTTGGAAACGGCATGTCAAAGATTTCTCTTTTATATTGTCGGATTGAGAGCGACATATGTGTGAATATTGCCAAAGGGCTTTTAAAAATGTAATTGCCGTTTTGGCAAATGGTTTCTTTGGGCACATCTCCCACTATTATGTATGCGAATAGTTGCACTCGCATTGCAAAATTATGTCATTGGTTTTATATACAGGCGGGTGACAATTTGAAAACTACCACCCCTCATATCTTAGTAAATAAACGAGATATTTAAAAAAATCAAAATCCGTTTCGGTAATTCGGAGGGGGAATCACAATGACATAGTTGGCGACGCACCCCCTCCAACCCCCTGCGCCCCAGCCACCCCAACTTTTAAATCTTAAATAGTGACCCCCCATGTGTGATACGTCGTTCGAAAGCTCTGAAAAAATGTTTTCCAACCATACCAAATAGCATTACATTTAGGTTAGTAATTTATTGTGAAAATCAAAAAATAAACTAATATGATACATTTGAAATCTGTCGTATTTAAAACGCAACCGGCGAACATAGACGAACCAAGACAGAGAATAATTCAAGAATGTCAAAATATTGCAAAACCAACATTTGAAAAGGTTCGACAAGAGTTTGAGAATAGATTATAACTGGCGATCAAAAATGAGTTGCTGTCGAGTCGGCTTTGGAAGTTCAAGTTAAATACGATTTTCCATGTTTATTTTTTGATTTGCACGATAATTACTAACCTAAATGTAATGCTATTTGGTATGGTTGGAAAGCATTTTTTCAGAGCTTTCCAACGACGTATCACACATGGGGAGTCACTATTTAAGATTTAAAAGTTGGGGTGGCTAGGGCGCAGGGGGTGTGCGTCGCCAACTATGTCATTGTGATTCCCTTCCGAATTACCGAAACGGATTTTGATTTTTTTAAATATCTCGTTTATTTACTAAGATATGGGGGGTGGTAAGTTTTCAAATTGTCACCCTGTATGTTGCACATAAGTATGGAAAAGTCCAAGGGGTAGTTTTGATTGGGGTAGTTTTTCGGAATATAGCTCGACAAGTAAAAACTAAACATAAATCTTTTCTTAGGAGCATATACTAGTGGAGGGTCTGACTGTCAAATTTTAACACTTTTGAATTATAGCTTCCAAGCGAAACACTTTCCATTTATTTGAAAAAAATACTAATTTGCCCCATAAAAAATAGTATAGGTATCTAATAAACCTCCGTTCTATTCTTGTCTAAAAGTATTGGCCTCCAAGAGGAAGGTTCCTCTTCAGAATACTTACCTTCTCAGGAATATCTTTCCAAGGAAAATGTATATTTCTGAACTCCACTCGCATGGAATTAAATTTACGTAATATTTTTGGAGTGAGATTATTTATTAAGCCACAGGGTGTTCCTTGCAGAGAGTCTTGAAAAGCGCATATATAAGCTCCTGCTAAGAAAACTTTATCACACTTTGGTCTTTATACTTCGAGTGCATGAATAATATAAGCTTCGACCGCTCTGGGAAGGGTATTGTGTAGCAACCTCTGACGTAAGTCGCCCAGGAAAAGAGTAATTTCTACGAAAACGATACAATTCTCTGGAAAAGTACCCTCTAGATCAGATGTGCACATTACCCAGAAGCTTCTAAAGAACCTTTAGAATGTTTTCTAGTAAGTATATATTACAGATCTTCACTGAAACCGTTGAAGTCTTCAGGGAGTCGTAAAAATATAGCGCCTTCTATTGTTTTTTAAGTTTATTCATATCACTCCAGGGCCGTTTAGAGTCGCCAAATGGAGCTTTATATGGAATTTCCTAGGTCGGGCGCGAATGCCTTAGAAAGCAGCTAACGGAGCCGTCGCACAGACATTTTTGAGATGCCGACCAAGTGCACACGATCATATTTACTTATACATATAACTCTTTTGAACCCCGTTTTTTTTACATTTTATTCACCCCGTCTGTCTCGCTGGACTATAAACAGTCCACACTGTATTCTTTCATAGATATAGAAGAAACGTTTGACAAAACAACCTTCGAAACAATAGAAATGGCTTTTAGTACGAGGCGGCGTAATTCTAATAGAATTTTGTGCCATATTTAGTGAGTTCGCGAAATTCGGAAAAAAAATTAAAATTAGATACTCATCCTGTATATAAAGCAACGACTTATATGCAGACGTCCTCGTAGCCACCAGTAAATGGCGGGTTTATAAGCACATTGATTACTGACATAACCTTAAAGATTTTTCAAATTGTAGCGATGTGTTCCGAACTAAAATTGCTAGACACGGTTCCTTTGCAAAATAAGAGCGCAATTAACATTGGAATAATTCCATCTGATGATTCCCAATACTGCATTCTGGTCGAAGATGGAATTTATGTTTTCAAATTGTGTGGTCTAATGGACAACTTTTTAAAAACTATGTCTTTTATGAAGTGGTTTATCAAACCGGGAGACTTTGCACTCAGTTCACACTTGGGAATCGACATAAACTCGTTCATAACGTCCCTGCCACAATTTGATATGTACGAAGCTGTTTTACGACTGGACTTATCCGAAGAGTTAAAGGAAGCATTGCCTTTAAAGCAACAGCCAGTTCAGGCAAAGTGGTCCAGTCTCGGATTGGTCTCTAATAACAACTGCGTACTGGCCGCAATGTCGAACACAGGCGCCTTACGTGTTTACGCATTTACGACGAATGAATCTGAAATTGAGGAGTTTATTGAAGTTTGCAATGTGACGGAGATTTGTGTACGTTATTTCTCTGTGAAATTTTTTCCAACCATTTTTCGAGGTGCCACCTATAGCAGTTTGTTTGAGGAATTAAAGAAAAGAGCCGGAATAGCCACTCCTTCTGGTATGGATTATGTTCAGTCTTTTCTGTGTTTCTAGTTATTTTGTAGCTTTCACATGGACTCATCTAATAAGCAAAGATGACGAAGTATTTACGTTTCTTATGGTGGGGCATTACGATGGTGGTGTTACTGTTTGTAGAATTAAGCAGATGAAAAATAACGAAACGTTCTGTGATTGTCGAGTGGTAGGGTATTTCCAAACTCATTTGAAGAAGCCTACGTTTATGCATTGGCAACAAGCCAACGATGACGGTAATGCATTTATCATTAAGCTTCGTTTCGTTAAAGTCTTTTGTAGGGCTGCTCATTGTTGGTGACCTTGAAGGTAGAATTAAGGCAATTTCGGTAACGCAAATATCACAGGAAAGTGTTAAGTTTGAAAATGAAATATTTTTATGGGGGGAAAGTGATGGTTTACGTACTGATTGTCTTAAAGTGGTGGTTCACGATAAGAACATCTATGTTCTAGCAGTAAAGGGGAGTGTTTTAGTTATTACTCTAATTGATGAATCGGGGCGAGTTGCAGATGTGTATCCGTTTCATGTTGGAGATTTCATTATTACAGGTTGGTATGTTAGGTATTTATCGACTTATTTGTGCTTTAGTACCTATAGGTGCAGGTAAGAAAATTATTGCATGATAAATTTAACTGTTCGGCTTAAAATTATCAAGTAACGATTTTATCACTTATAATTGCACAAGAGGTTTGTATTTTACCGAATAAATTTGGGTTGTTAAGGTAATGAAAATCTGTTGCCTAGCAATTAGACGAGAAAAACTGTCAACTAATAAAAATGCGACACCGAAGGTGGAGCATTTTTAGGTTGACAGTTTTTCGAGTTCAATTGCTAAAAGGAAACAGATTTGAATTGCAACAACCCAAATTTACTCGGTTTAAATATAAACCTCGAGTGTAATTCGGCAGGACAATTTAACGAACAAGAAATTCACCAAACTAGTCAATTATTGACAGACGTCAAGCTAATCATATGGGAAAGGATAATGCGATACTTGTTCCAAAATGAAAAGTGAAAAAACCACTAGTGCATTTGTCGCTGGAAAAGTTGCAGGTAACTTTTGCCGCTGTCAAAGTGACAATTGCACTGCGGCCTCGACTGCGGCTTATGCGATTTTTTATACATGAGTTGAATTGTCACTAAAATATGGGGGTGGCGCAGGTCAGTTGAAGCTGGACTACAGTACTAAGGGCCCCTGGTTCGGGCATGGATATTTGTAAATGTATAGTGGGTTGGGTTGGTAGAGCAGCCTTGGCTGAAACCCCGCCCACTCAAAAATAAAGGCAAATTAAAAATAAAATAAAATACTACATACGTGTATTATTACAGTAGCTACAGTTTGTAGTTGTAGTAAAGGAATTAAAAAATAATGACAATGTTAGAAGAAAAATGACAGACAGACAGACAGATGTGTTATCTAAAAGAGCCCTAGTGTATTCACTGTAGAAGGTTTTTTTTATCTTCTTGGTTTGAGCTATGTCACGCCTACGCACTTTGATCGTTAGATGTCCTCTCCAGCGGCAACTTCCTGATCTGATGAAGTGCTATTACAGCCTCACTAGGTCGTGTGATCTCTGTTTGGAGACAGTTCGTCTTCCGCTGTCACTTGTTTCGCGAAACGGAGGCGGCATGCGCTATCCTCAGCTACCCTGATTTGAGATGATATTTCAAGGTGCAGTGTCCTGTGATCAGACCAGTACCCTTCTACTGAGTGCTAGTAACGAGCTGGTTTTAGTCTCCTGGAAATATAATGCAGGGGTAGATTCGCATAGACGTTTTCGCTCTTTTCTGAGCTGGCATCTTGGTTTCTGCTTTTTAGTTGTGGACCCATTTTTAAATGTGATCAGTCGGCTCTTCCGCCTCTCCCGGAAACTGAGTCATAAACACGCGGAGCATTGGAAATTCTTTGAAATTTTAAGCCAAGATGCTTTTAGTAAAAGCAAACGTATCGCATATTGTAAACATCAGATTAATGTGCGCATGCGCAGAACTGGCTTAAGTTATTGAAATATCTTTTTGAAATTTTAATCACAGATGCTTCCACAGGGGTGGATGGGGAACCATAAATTGTCTTGTGAAATGTACCTATCGGCCCACTCGGCGGATGTGAGAGGCGGTGGGGTAAAACACCGTCCTGACGAAACAAAACAGTGTTTCTTGAAAAAATGTTCACTTATTAAAAAAAATTGAAAATAACATTGCTTAACCAAATAAGTGACACTAAGTATGAAACAAAATATAATATAAAATATAAAATTAAATAAAAAAATAATATAACATGAGACTTAAACTTACCAGATTGAAACTTGAAAGTATGTTTTGTATTGTAAGCATTAAGAAACTCAAAACGAATGACGGGGTAAGAATTTAGGATTAAATCGAGGATTAAATTATATCGTTACAATTTAAAAAAACACATAAATGCAACTGACCCAGTTCATTCGTATATCCAGCCCCAACATATTTTGCCTTCGTTCATAGAATTAATAATAATAATAATAATGTAATATTAACGGCACCGCAATTGATATCATAAAAAATGGGGAGAACAATACAAAAATAATAGAATTTTTTTAAATAATCAATCTATACAACGAATTGTGACACTGGATTATACCAAATTGTTAATACTCACCCATAATTCATCATGCCTGCTTAGTACCTAAAAAGAGAAATACATTAACAATAAATAGTATCTCAGATAAATACTCACCATCATAGATCAATAAAAACATCTTTTTTCCGGCAGAGGTAGCTAATAATCTTAGCAATTGATGCTTCCTCTATCGATGATCTATATTGAGATTAATTTAAAAAAAATAATAATATATTTACGGAATTCACCTGTTATATTAAATACCACAAAAAAAACATGTTCTTAGCTAATTTAACATAAATTGATTTTCAACCTAATAAACCTTCGCTAAAAGACAATACAAATAGAAAACTAGAAATCACACAATAGAATAAAAACAAAAAATATTTAGTAATCAATATTACGTTTGAGCTTAATTTTATAAGCCTGATAATCAGAATTAAACAGATTAAACCACGGCAATTTCCAAAAATAGTTTGCATCGGACAAAATTCTTGTTAAAGGATTATTCCTAGACACATTGCTCGAAAATTGTTTAATTCTGAAGCCCGGTATATTTCTGGTGACGCATGTAGTCCTAGGAACATAAAAATCCACCAAACCAAGAATTTCAGGACAATCAATAGCACCATTTAGAAGTTTGTGTAAAAAACATAGGTCGGCAATGCGTCTCCGGTTTTCCAAGGAATGTAGGCTCAAATCCGATCTAATTGATGCGTAAGCTCCTTGGATATGTGGAATTTCAAGCTTATATTCCATTGTTCTAAGAAATTTCTTCAGTAGGTACTGTTTCTAGCTTCTTACGATTTTAGTCAGTGAGCGGAGACCACAATACCAATCCGTAGTCGGCATGGCATAGAACAATTGAACAGAAAAGTAGTTTCAAACATTGTACGTTCAAATCTTTAGCAATAAACCAAACAAGACCAAACAATTGCTTTCTACTTTGCAACATTAAGTGTACCATTACATACACATACCCTTTTTTTGTTACTAGTCCAGGAAATAGAGACTGAAAATGGACCATTTCCTGCAAAACGAGAAGTAGTCCCAATTTTTTTTGCATGTCATGAAAGAATATCTGGTGGTTAAGAATCCAAGTTTTCGACCTCCCACCCCCTGTGCTTCCCCCGTACCACCCTTAAAACCAAAGAAATTTGGTTGGTTTTTTAGTTTTTCAATCATATCTTTTTATAGATTCATTTTACAAAAAAAAATATTGTTATCAGAAATTGTAGACTATAAAATTCTACACAACTTTGATATACACTACTTCTTTGTGAAATGTTTATTAAACACGATATAGAGCTTCAGAGTTGCTTATATTTTTAAGAATTCTAAAATTTGTATGTAGATGTTTTAACCAAATTTTATACTTTATCTCTATAATTAAGAGTTTTATGAGAAAATATCTTGAACTTATCGTGGTATAAATCCCCCTACGCTGCACCCTTACCAAAGGGGATGCATAATAATTCAACTTTCAACCCTTGCTAGTGGGGATATTTGAATCACTGTGAGATTGTAGGGTTTCTAATATACGTTTGAAACAAAAAAATTATCTCACTTCAGTTCAGCTTCATCCTTCAAATCCTTCATCCCCCCGCCCCTCCCCCCAACCGCGGTAGGAATAGATATTTAAAGAGGAATAGAAAACATGTAATAAGCGTTGTACTCTCTGACTAACTTCACAATCGCCACAAGAGCGTTTAAATATCTATTCCTACCGCGCGAGGGGAGGGGGTGAAACTGAACTGAAGTGAGACAATTTTTTAATTTCAAAAGTATATTAGAAAGCGCTACAATCTCACAGTGATTCAAATATCCTCACTAGCAAGGGTTGCAAGTTTCATTATTATGCATCCCCTTTGGTAAGGGTGCAGGGTAGAGGGATTTATACCACGATAAATTCAAGATATTTTCTCATAAAACTCTTAATTATAGAGATCAAGTATGAAATTTAGTTAAAACATCTACATAGAAATTTCAGAATTCTTAAAAATATAACCAACTCTCAAGCTCTATATCTTTTTTAATAAACATTTCACAAAAAAATAGTGTATCAAAGTTCTGTAGAATTTTATGGTCTACAATTTCTGATAACAATATTTTTTTCTAAAGTGAACCATTAAAAAGATATGATTGAAAAACTAAGAAACCAACCAAATTTCAGGGGTTTTGGGGGTGGTACGGGGGAAGCACAAGGGGTGGGAGGTCGAAAACTTAGATTCTTAACCACCAGATGACTGTCTATGACATGCAAAAGAAATTGGAACTACTTCTCATTTTGCAAGTTAAAACCCTCTATTCCCTGGACTATACTGTTTGTTTACTTTTCTTACTAATTTGTAATTATATTCCATTTATCTTTTTTTTATTTTATTTTTTTTTATAATAATTTAATAATAATGTATGTATACGCTTCTATATTTACTTTTATGATTGTTCATTTATGGATTACTAAGAATCTGTTGAACAATAAACATTACTGATTACTGATTACATATCAATTATCTTAAAATTCGTTGAAAATTAATCTTACAACTTTGACAATACAAATGCAGTGTTTTCAAAGATCCTACTATAAAACCGTAAAATAGGTAATTGTTTTAGGTGTAGAACACTATGAAGGAAACACTATTTTAGTATTGACATACACTGGTGTTCTGAAGGAGGTGATGCTGTTCAATGAAGAGAATAAAATAAAAATCAAATGGCGACACTTATTCATCGATTACAAATGGTGGTCACACCGTACTCACGGTCTCATAGTGTCACAAAATAGAGTATTTATAGGAGTATTAGTCAGCATGTCTAAGTTGACGAATATCAAAAAACGAAAAGATCACGTTCGCCTATTGGTTTTTATGAACGTGGCCAAGAAACCTCTCCAAGTTTTATTGAATAATGAAAGTAACACCCTGACTTCCTACTGGGATTGTCTGGAGGTCTTGCGGTAGGTAGTCCAAACTAATAAAGCCGCGAATAAGACGAGATTGTTTAGATTGAATGGACTTCTCGACAGAAAATTGTCTAATGAAGGACTATCGCCCGAACTCGATTACGATAAAATGTCTTTGGTTCAATTGAAAATGTGCCTTGCCTTGGCCAAGTCGTCGGAAGTGATGGTTCGCAATTCGCCCGTCATGCAGACGACTCCCACTTTGAAGTCGGACGAGTTTAAATATATTTTGAAGATAAGGCTAGCAATGGACCATATGTATCGATTATTGGACCAACTTGCCAATGGGGGTCAGCTTTCCGTATTTCACATGCAGAGTCTTGACTTGTTAAATGCGTTTTTAAAAGAAACTGTTGCCAAAGGGATGATTCTAAGGTTACTTTTGGGAAAGCTGACGTTGGACGGATTGTATGATATTATTGCTACTGCCAGTGAATTGAAGTATCCGGATCCTCCAGTTTGTGTATGGTGTGAGGAAAATATCCTTTCAATGGTTGTAGTATGTAGGAAACTTGGGTGATTTCACTTCACTTTTTCTCAAAAATGTTGAAATTCTACAGGGTGTTCGTTTGTTGATGTTATTTCAGGATATGGAACATAAGAGTATGTTGTCATGTATATCTTCGGAAGGTAGGTCATGGTACAGTTCGAAGGTTGCTCGCTGTTTGAAGAGTAGTTTGCTCTACTAATTCTTTCCCATCAACAAGGAACACCAGTTTTAGAATCTATGCGGACAGATACTTCTCAAACATATTTTGGACCCCTGGTTTATTTGGAAAAAGCAGCCAATTTTTTTAATACTTCATTAGATATTGTGTTATTTTCTTAACATGTCTTACAGATTATAGGTCTGTCTTGCGTACCAGCCCATTCTGACACACGATGCTGCATTTCATTCATGCCAGTTACACATCTACCATACTACAAGTGCAAGTTTTGCAAATCAACCGTACATGTGAAACTTACTGACGTTTATAAGACAATGTTGTGCCCCTACTGTGATATTCCGCTTAGTTATGTTGGTAGATTAATCCTCAAAGACCAAGACTCGCATCCTGTCGAGATTAGTGTGGACCTACGTAAGGCGAATTGTAAAAGTGATTGCGTCGAAGAGTCTGTAAACGTGGACGAAGTCGAGCATGCCTTCACATATCTTGACACAAACGAGCTGCTCGACATAATACAGATTTCAGATGATGATAATAGTAATTAAATAACCTAAATTAATTTTGTATTTAACGCGTTTCCATGGAAGCTTTCACATTGTGTGATCAATGTCATGGTATAATGATTAATTTTAAATTTAAACGAGAATGTCTGTCATTTTAATTTCCCATCACGATGAAAATATATACAGCAGCGCGAAAAAGGCGCCGGTATGCCGCAAGAAAGAACCGCGGTACGTCTCCACATTCCAAAAACCGTTGAAAATCGAAAATCAGAAGCGAAAACGTTATTCGCACGCGACAATGGGCCTACCCGAAAGAGAACCTACCGACCCTTCCCAATTTCTTCAGAAGAACAAAGGCGTTAGGCACAAGGTGATTAGAGAAAGGCCCTACACGCCGCACGTCAAATTGAGACCTCCCGTTATTCCTACCGCTGCACTTTTAAAGGAAGATGTGGAGCGTAGAAACAAAACGCCACCCATGGCGAATTTCGTAGCGCGCAATATTAAAAACGCAGTACATCTCAAACCGAAGGCGCCAGTGGAACGCGTCGTAATTAACTGTCACGGCGACTCCAAGAAAATAGCAGCAGGAATGGAACCGGTTTATATCTACGAAGAAGGCTTCGGAAAAGTTCCACAGTATTTAAGGGCGATTATTCAAAAACGCGAGAGGCATGTGCAGTTTCAGAAGGACGTAGCAGATGTCGAACAACCTAAGTGCCGATACGTAACAAAGGAACAAAGAGCGGAGTTACTTAAGGTGAGAATAACGCGCACGCAAATGAAGTCCCCATGTAATCTTTGTAGGGTTTGAAAGACAATTGGGAGGAACTGCAACGGCAGTATCAGGGTTTACCGATTATCACGGATACCATACCGAAAATTAATCGAAAACTTAAGTTGGAGAATGATCTGAAACTATTGGAAAAGGACATTGTTTTGTTAGAAAGACATCCGTACATTTATGTTTATTCTGATAACGATTTATCGTAATGAATTGGACAATTTCCAAAAATTTTGGCAAAGTATTACACTCAAATCATTAAATAAAAAAAAACTAGTTATTTTTGGATTGTAAGAGAATGTTACATTTGCAAACGCGATTGAAACCACATAACAAGTTGCCCATATACATATCGTAGGCTCATGCTGCAATAAAGGACGCTGTGTCTTCTGTATTGAACTTTTTTTGTTTCAAAATGATGTCCCATTTCCGATGGCAATTTTAGGTGAGCATTAAGTTTGTGGTTGGTTCTTTTCCTAAGGACTAACTCAGCAATAGGGAATATGCATGTGGTTTAAATTTACTTGATTCTTTCTCCGGCAAATATTTATTGTCCTGACATTATACTTAAACCATTAGTTTCTTATTTAGTTTGTTTTTAATTGCTAAAAATGTTAATTCAAAAGTGTAAAATAAGCGAACGAAATTCAAATTTGCGAAATGCTTCACTATTGGACGAATGAAAGTGACGTCAATTAATGCCACGCGATCGCATTTGTTGTGTCAATATTCATAAGTACTTAGTGCAGTCTAATTACAGTTTGGGCAGATTGAGCTGGGTGTTGTCATTTCACTCAACGAAATCAAGTGTCTTCTATGTAAAAAGATCCGCTGAATCCGAAAACCATAGTCCCCCTAGCCGAAAACTCCCCGAATATATTGTTACGTATAAACAAAAAAGATGAAAAAATGGCAAGATGTCGTTTCTTTTCGCATTTGACTTCAATTATCTCGTTAACTATTGCTCTAAAGGAAAAAATGAAGAGAAATGAATTGGTTTAGAATTGAATTTTCTATAAGATACAATGGGTATGAAACCTTCATTTTCAAATGTTATTGTTTTTTATGGAAAAATATAAAAAAGCAATCCCGAAGATGTTCAATTGGTTATTACTAAGTAAAATTCATCCGATCTTTTTGAAAATCTGTATCCACTTCTTTTGATAACAAAACAATATGACAAACCCGATCACCGTAGATTTGATAGTTATTGCATAATTAAATAAACAAATTTACAAAACGATACTTGGTCTTTTAAACTGGGTGACTCCCAGAGCGTTCTACAGTTGTTTACAGATGGTGGAATCCTAAGACAACCATTTCCAACAATTGTCCCGATGATTCATGCAAATTGATGGACTGTGGAATTTTTTTTAGTTAACTAACAAATTGAATAACTCCCGAAATATAACAAGGAAGGTAACTCTATAATAGGCCCTTGGTGTTCTGATTAATAAAAATCATACATTTTGGTAAAATAGAAGCATTAAAAAGCTCGCCCTTTAAAGAATCGTTCGATGCGATCCGATTTGCAAAATCCTTTTTTGTTGTGTCGAAAACAAGTCCGAAGTCAAAAGCTGATTTCTCGTGAACTCGGATTTGGACGTATTTTTTTAATGTAGATGTTTCCGAGAGCTTTCCATTCGCCTACTATAGATTTACATTTCTTATGGTATATTGGAAATTATTCCATTTGTTAACTAAGAAAATTCATCGGATTTTGAAACAAAATTGCATAGTCCGTCGATTTGCAAGAACCAACGGCAGAATTGTTGAAAAAGGTTGTTTTAGGGTTCACTAACTGTAAAAAAATTGAGAACGCTCTGGGAGTCGTCCTTTTGTACCTGCAAAATACACTTTATCGGGAATATTTCTAATAGTGTTTTTGCACTTTTGTACAAGACAATACCTATAAAATGGTTTTTTAGCTTTTTCCATGGTCTGAATAGCTATTACAACACTTTTTCTTATTAATTTTGGTGCGTAGAATCCAAAACAATTCGTACTTTTTCGATTAGACTTCTCAATCAAAAGTTATAGACTAGAAACCAATTTCGAAAAAAAATTCAAAGGACTGTAACTTTTGAACTAGTAGCCCAATCTTGGAACTGTTTGACATTATGGATTCTACAGGCCACATTCTATAAGAACATTTTTTTTCCGGATCGGTCTGAGATAATTTTTTTTCAGGGCTCAAAAAAAGGCAGTTATTACCTTCCTTTTTTACCAAAAATCGACTGCACCAAAATTTCTCGTGAAAACACTTTTTCTTATTAATTTTGGTGCGTAGAATCCAAAACAATTCGTACTTTTTCGATTAGACTTCTCACAGATCTACACATACACAGATTGCTAACATGCATTTTTTGAGGAACAAATTTAGGTATACTTAAAAGCGCCCTCTATTGCGGAGCAGTACAAACATGTACCGTTTAAAACTGTAATATGACGCTTATGGATTTATGCTAATGTCGCTGCAAAAAATTTAAAGCGGTAAAGTGTGCATAATTCGAATTCGTTATTTTTGGCATTTGATATTTGTAATCGGTGATTTTATTTTGTGATTTGTTTATAGACACGTATTCAAGAGATCATATATGTATACCTACATACGTATTCCAAATCTTATCGGCGTGGTAAAGAGTGTAACGTTAATTATGGCAGAGATATACATATGGTTGTTAAGTATACCTTTGCGGTTAGCAATCTGTCAAGACCTTTAAAGCTGCAAATAAATTCCGCCCACTTCAAAAAACCTTCACGATTCTTTAAGAACCTGCCCTATGTTCGTGTGTATCTGTGACCACAGGTACCCGCTTTTAATAACTCCTTTACGAGGAATGAGTAGCTCCAGTGTTAAATTAAACAATTATGGCTCAGCGTACGTCCTATCATATCATATCACTGTAATAATACGAATATTAAGGAATTCGAATTGTGCAAACTAGTGCTTTAATTTTGTTTCAGCGACATCTAACGCATAAATCCATAAGCGTCACATTACAGTTTTAAACGATACATGTTTATACTGCTCCACAATAGAGGGCGCCTTTAAGTATACCTACATTTGTTTCCCAAAAAATGCATAAGGCTAGCAATCTGTGTATGCTTAGATCTGTGCTAAAAGTAAACAAATACTGGTCGTGGCTTGGGACGTCATCCAAGGCCCGCTGAAAATGTGGCGGCGTTTAAACACATCGAATAAAGTCAACGTTTTAAATATTATTTTACAAGTTAAATTGAATTGTTCTAAACAGTGTTTACTCTTTTTACTATGTTAGAATGATATAAAAAAGCGATTAAAAAATTTAAAAAATTACATGCATATTCCCTATTGCTCTGAGGTGAGAAACTGTTACTAATTTAGGTGCTACAGCAAGCTTGCTCCAATTTCGTGTTTATAAAAATTAGTGGTGCAACATACCTCTGTTCTGTAGCTATATTTTTCCCTTGCGCTCCCGATTCCGCTATTTTATAACGGAAGTATACGGAATTTTTCAAACATGGCAAGGCACACTCTGATTGGTCGAACGGGATGACGCGGACGTGATCCTGATGGCCTTGTCTTTTGTTTGTCTACTCCCATGGACTGGGAATATGTGCCTTAATAGTTTATATTTAGCGCAATTTCACCACGCCACGCGACTTTTCAAAAAGTATGGGGCACACAAAATCAAAAATGCCCTTCGCAGTCTCTCTCAGGTTTTCGCTTTTGTTTGGGATTGACAGTAGTTATGCATTGGCTCTGGTTTGGTCACTATGAAGCGCTGACGTCGAAATTGGGGGGAAGATTAGTAGATCAATAATTTATTATGAAAATAAAATTAATCGAAAACAACAATCCAAAAAGATACTACCTACTTTAATTATACTACTATGCGATCAAAAATGAGTTGCTGTCGAGTCACCTTTGGAATTTTTGTTTAGATGGTAATTGAACTTTCAAAGGCGACTTGGCAGCGACACATTTTTAATCGCCCATTATACTTGTTACCCAAATTATAAAACAGAACAACTTAGTTTGGCATCAGCTTAATAATGAATGGGAAGAGTTTTCGAACCATAGCTGGCGTAGATACAATTCTTCTGATAACTAGACACTACTTCATTTGTAAAATAATTGTCGCCCCAATAATGCATGCCGTCTGCAGCTGGTGCAATTGTATCAAAATGCGTTTTGTAAGATGAATAATTGTACGCGCAACTATCCTCGATTGTCCGATTCGACGAGTCCACGTACGACTTATAGTAACTCTCATTTGGTGTATCGAAGTATAAGTTAGTGTAGTATGTTTGCCTATTCGTATTCCCCATTAGTGCCGCCGATAATAAGTTAGCAGTGGTTTGACTGAGCTCTTTGCTGAGAATTTTAACAAATCTCTGCGAGGACATCGGTTCACCCTCCTCCAAGGTGAGCAACATTGCGCGTATGTAGTTTCTGGCAAGGCGCAGAGTTTCAATTTTGGATAACTTCTGGGGTGTCGAGTGTAGGTCTGTGGTCGTTTGCTGAATTGGCACGTGACTACAAGAACTTCGTTAATACAAGTAATTGCGGAATTTGCATTTACCATCTCAACCGGTCCAGAGCGGCGTTCAGCCCGTGCATTCTATCCCTTTCGCGGGCGTTCGCCTTCGTGCGACGAATTCTCATTTTCAGTACGCGATGTTTTTCTTCCTTTCGCATTTTGAACGAGTGGCTGCACTTTTCCATGGCGAATGCGAAATGGCTCCAATATTTTTTTGCGTGCGTTATTTAAATTGTTACGGGTATTCATCTTATCGTAATTCCCGTTTGTTTACTGATTTTCCAATTGTCGTCTAGTGACAAGTGCTTCATTTCGCCTGATAGTAATGTTTACTCTTCTTATCCTACCGTATGCCATTAGTTTGACATATGGCGCGTGGGAATATTAGCTATTTTAATAGAATTTGTAGTGTTTGAACGAAATGTCTAATTGCATTTATGTGTAAATCGTGTTCTTTTATGAACGAGCCTTTTTATTCTATTACTTGGTAGGTACCGTGCCTTGTTTTTACACAATGCAAAAAGTCAATTAACTTGCATTTGTCAATAATTTGAAATATTCTCCCATTAACAGCTTATTTTCTCCTTTGGAAGGGTAGCAGCAATTTGGAAAATTGGATGCTGGAACACTTTCTTTTTACAGTACAATCGGACCTATCATATCACCAGAGAAACAATATTTGGGTACTCGTTAAAGGTGACTCTCGCAAGATTATTGACGAATTTGAATCCGGCACAACCATATGCTTTAGGTTCCTCGCAATTTATTGGTTTTAATTTAGTTTATTTATGGAAAGAATTGCAGATGTTCCGCAGTATAGAAATATCCATAATTACCCTTACAAGTGAGCGTTTTGACTCTCGAATATTAGTTCTGTTCTCTTTCATTATGGAATGTATAAAATTTCCTATAGCGGAAAATTTGTAAAATTAACAGAAAATCGTTAAAGCCTAAAGCGACCACCTGTTACACCTGACATAATTTTTTTATTTTATTGCTCTTACTGATTTCTAAGGGAGCCAAGAGTGTGTGTGATCAATGAAAAGTTATAGTTCATGCCTAATTCTAAAAAGCGTACACGAATACAATGAAAGCGGGCCAAAATTCATTCTTCTAACTAGAAGGGCAGGATTGTGCAGCTAAGTCTCTTGACTATTAATGATTCCTTTAGCAATACTTTTGCAAAACCTATTATGGGATGCCACTGTTATGTGCATGATTGTAATTTAATCTTTTGATCTTGGTGTTATAGACATGTGGATGCATTTGCGTGACTTACACTTTAGTTCCTATTTCATCAATCAAAATCGAAGTACGGCTCAGTATATCTTTCACACCCTGTAAGAAAATCCGATGTAGTCTGTGGTATCTGTTTAGTGCTTTTTATTTTGTAGTTGTGGCAGCGACAGCTCACTCCGAGTTCGGCCATTGTGTTATGTAGCGTCTCTCAGTCTGTGTATTTATGAATTCAATTGGTACTTGGGCAATAAAGAAAAGTGTATTAATTGTACAATTTTGACTTAGTGTTTGTAATTAACGACACAAAGAGCTACTAAGATTGGAAGATTTACCGTGAAATGGCCATGACGTCCACACAAGTGAAACAACAACAAACCGGAATGGCGGGCACAGGCACGGGATGGCCACGAAGAAATAGCCAAAATGCAAACGCGACGACAACATCTTTCGATAGCAAGTATCCCGCACCGTCCACAGCAATCAACCGTATCATAAACTTGTAAGTAACCCACTTAAAATTCAATTGGTTTGCCAACTTGCCTTAAGGTATCCCCTGACGAATTACACATTCGGAACGAAAGAGCCACTTTTTGAAAAGGACCCAAGTGTACCCGCCCGATTTCAAAGGATGCGCGACGAATTTGAACGCATCGGCATGAGACGAAGTGTCGAAGGCGTTTTACTGGTCCACGAACATGGATTACCTCACGTTCTCTTATTACAATTGGGAACCACCTTCTTTAAACTACCAGGTGGTGAATTAAACCCTGGCGAAGATGAGGTGGAAGGCTTGAAACGGTTACTGACCGAGGTATGTTTATGTGTGTTCATTTATGTATTCGATTTTTTCTGAAAAATTGACATTGGTGGCATTTTAAGAAAATTGTACCTACTTGTTTAACGATAAGATGTGAAAACTAACAATCAAAGATTTTGTATCCGACGACCTCCCCATTTCTGAACGATTATACCTTATGTGCTGTTACAAGTTTTATCGAGTGTGGCTTACCTCCATTAGTGCAACGATTGCAAAAGTCACAAGCTTTGTTTTATTTGTAAAGGTCTCTCCTGCTTTACAGGTTTAAAAGAATAATCGGTATTGACAGCATGTCTTTCAGCTCACTCGATAACCACATGGAACATTTCAAATATCGACTAATTGTATACGATGCGCCTTTCTCGCAACTGGTGTACTTGTAAATGTATTTTTAATGCCATGTTAATTACGCTGTTTAAAAGTTAGGTTTGCATTTCTCTCAAATTTTACCTCATGCTTCCAATCCTGTCAGTCCCATGTTCCGACAAAAATGTAAACTTAACTTTTTGAGAAATATGTTGGTTTATTTTTAAGTATTTAAACTTAAAGATTTCAAAATTTTGTTGTATTCATTTTTACTCGTGTTACGTTAATGTTCAGACAATGTGTTTGAATTTTGTAGCTCAAGTGTGGTCAAGGTAAAGCAAAAGTTCTCTCTTTTTTTGTTCACGTCTTCAGTCTTCATTTCTTCTACTGTTGGCAGCTGGCATGAATCGTAAGTGAATGGTTTGAAAATGACATAAAATTACGGAACAGATAATTGGCGTCTTTTTGTGTTCAGTTTGCTGGTGTCTGTAACACGGCGCATTTGTCTGTACAGGATGTCCATTTAATAATGGTCACAGACCATATCTATGAAACCGTTAATTGCATCGCTTCGGGAAAGAAATTTTGTTAACAAAAGGGGCCAAGACAAATCGCTGGAAATTATTTTCAAGTTTCTAGCTTCGCCGCTAGAGGGGGTACGATTCATGTTTAAGCAGAAAAATGAATTTTTTTCTAAAATACACCGCAATTAAAATTTGTCAATGTTCGTATTTTCGTCATATCTCTGCTTAAAAAACAGATATCAAAATGCGGTTTTCACTGATATTCTCACTTTTTCGTCTTATTTGATAGTATCATATAATAATTATATCGTTCCATTTGAAATTTAAAAAAAAAAACTGCAAAGTTTATGTTATTGTCACATCGCGCCCTCTACCACTCATCACATTTACTAAAAAGACTATTCATGTAAAATCTGATTTCACGAAGAGAGCTCATTCCAACAAGACGTATTATGTGAAAATCTGTTAACCTAATCCGAATTCAATTCCTTAAAGAGATGTTCCCCTTCCCCCACCTCTCATATTTTATGAGCTAGAGCATATGTGCTGCATCAAAATGATGGAAAATTGGTACGAGATTGCTATGCATGTATTTTTAATGCATGTTTGTTGGGTATATTTTAGAAAAAAATTTATTTTTCTACTTAAACATGAATCGTACCCCCTCTAGCGGCGAAGCTAGAAACTTGAAAATAATTTCCAGCGATTTCTCTTGGCCCCTTTTGTTAACAAAAATTTTTTCCCGACGCGGTGCAAATAACGGTTCCATAGATATGGCCTGTGACCATTATTAATGGGACACCCTGTACATTTATTTCTTGCTTTGTTATGTAACAGGTAAGTAGAACGTTAGGTATCTAAAAAAATCTTGAATTAAATATACCAAGGACTGGAAACAGTGGCAAACACCCCATTTCTCTAATTTTCAAAATAAAAAAAGGAATTAGGCAGCAGTATAGGGGTGGTGTATTCGATTGTCTTTGTCACATAGTCCAAATATTTAAATTTTAAATGACTTGTTAAATTAGTCATTCTGTAAAAATCCAATATGGCGCCCATAAGAAATAACAAAGTAGTAGCCAGTAGCTTTCACATCTAGCATGCTATGGAAATTCTAATAACAGAATCAGATTTCCAAAAAAAGTGCCCATCAAAAGTGCGAACGGGGATAGTACCATTTCAGTTTTTCGGTGATCTCAGTTATTTTCAAACATTTTTAATGTACACTGTATCTCTCACCGTTGCGGAGATTCCAATGGTGAGCCATGAATTTGAACCACCCTGTACAGTTTCAATTTTAATAAATGAAGAATAATAAACACAAAATTTCAGTGTTGTTTTTTTGTCTGTTCATGATTTTGAACTTTCTGCCCATCTCTGTGCATGATAACTCACAAATGATTTTGAATTTTCCAATTCTGTGTTTAGTAACAGGTGGACTGTGGTGAAGGGAGAGGTTTTCATGCATCTGTACAAACAATATGTGGTAACATTGTAGTACATGCTTGCAAAAGTATGAAGATATGGCAGTGATATGCTACATTTTTTTTACTTCATTCCTTTATCTGTTAGTTAACACATCAATTAACACAATTAGAACTAAAGGTTGGATAGATTAGTAATCTATCTCCTATTGGCAAGAGAGAAAGAGAGAGATTGTCTGATTTTCTTTCGAGAATTTATTAACACTTGTCTTTGTACAGCTCGCTTAAAACTTTTATTTACCTTAATTATCACTTGGCAGACAATATCGACACATTGTTTGAGCTACATACCACAAAGAGCTGTTTTAAAAATCGAAAAAAAATGTATAAATATCGGAAGATAAATTTTCGAAAAATGTGTAAGTATTGAAATTTTGTTACTTATTGTAAATCTGTACTATATCTGTCTTATTGTTCCATTACTCTTTTATATCCATTTGACGCCCGCCCAAATATGACTAAGTAAAGTTACTTGGCTAAGAAATGAGAAATAATTTAAGCTGCTGGATATTTGTACTAAAGCTTGTTACACTGAGTCAAAGAAGATTGTTAATTTATGGATTTTTTTCGACTACCTAATGTTTGTATTAGATACGTAGTAGTTGCACTTACATTTCAAAGAAAGATAAGCCCACCATTTGATTACGTCCCAATTGTTCAATTCTCAGTATTGTATCTCGAGCTTTCTAGTTTATCAAATAAGTACTTCGATTGTATCAAATCGCTGACTTAAAAAATCAATAGTATTGTTAAAGTGATGAAAGGTAAACGATTATAATAATGTTTTTGTCATAATGTAATACAATAAATGCATTTGCTTTCTGTTGAGTTATAATTAGTGGTAGTACGTTCAAGAGGAGGATGGGTCAATTAGACGCTTTTACGATGAGTTGTTGCAGACTTTGGGAAGGCAAGATGGCGTTAAGCAAGATTGGCTTATCGAAGATATTATCGGCAACTGGTGGAGGCCGAACTTCGAACCGCCTCAGTATCCTTACATTCCGCCACACATAACCAAACCAAAGGAACATAAGAGATTATTCCTCGTCCAGTTGCAGGAGAAGGGTACTGTAGTAAATTGCTAGATTCTTTTATATAATTTCTTCAGAGAAGATTGTATATTATGTGAATGTGTAAGGGAAGAAAACCGTGGTTTTCTTCTTTTACGAATTGATGTAGATTTTCTTCAAAATTTGAGAAGATATAATCATTTCATTCGATTTATTTTTTTGACATATGAGGGTTGTAATTTATTATAACCACAATTTGTGTTGTGTTTGAACAGGATATGTTTTCTATTTGTCGACGTCTCATTCCACCAATTAACAAAAGAAAAGGCTATACAGTTAACAATGAACCAATTCTTACTTAACCAAACTCTGTCCACTCGTGTTTATTTCGCGACAAATCATGAAAACATAGAGCAGTTAAATATTACTCCTTTTCCCTTAATCCTTGAACCTGTGTTAAAAATTGCAATTGCGAAGTATCATTCTACTGTTTGACAACACTGTAATTATTTTGTATTCTGTTGTAAAATATCATCTTGTTTAGTTGACGTTGGCAACTATCATATCCTGTTCACCCTTAGACTTAGACATAACATACATTTTACTTTTTAACACCTTTTTAATTATAATTCATATTTTGCACTTTTATTATTTATATTCTTCATCTTTAAGCATATTCATTTAGATTACTAATTTTTGTAATAAAATGTAAATTAAATGGCGAATGAATGTGCTACACACTCACAGTGATTTTGACTAAGAAATCGGCTCTAGTGTTGCCATTTATAACTAAAGACAGTGCTTCGGTTATAATCGGTTGCGCTAACCAAAGGTTAAAAACAAGCTGTATGTAAATTGTAAATTTGTTGTGTAAAAATGTCTGTAATTTATTATAAAAACATTATTCCAGTTTATTTTCTTGGGTGGATTAACGTTTTTATATATCTTCGGAAACGGCCTCGATTACATGTTTGTAATTTATTGCGTTATTCTTGCAGCGTTTTTCGCAGTTCCGAAAAACTATAAATTAGTGGCGGCGCCTCTATTTGAACTTTATGACAATTCCCAAGGCTACGGGCCGATCATTTCGTCTTTACCTCAGGCACTGTGCAGGTAACGCGATTGTAATAATTATTGCTACTGTTGATGGTATACCTACGTGTTTTTTCAGATTTCAATTTATCTACATGTGAGGGTTGCTGAACAGTGAGTGACTGGTGTTCAATTCGACGTTTGCGTATCTCAGATTTGCAATCAAAATAGACTTAGACATTGTAATTTTACCTATCATTCAGTGAGGACTTGACGCATGTAATAAAAACGTGAAGTTTTTATATATTTCATTTATTAGGTTGTATAAATATAAGTGATATTAATGCTAATTACTATTTGATTAGGTGTTCTAATTCTTATACTGGTAGGAATACAAAGTACAAAATCAAATATTTCTTTTGATACTACCCATAAAGTATACAGTGTACGTAGCAGTAGCAAATGAGTGAGTGTGCTTTGAAAAAAGAAATTGTTTATGACGGATAATTATATAGATTTTCCATGTATGAACTGTGTTACCCCATTCCAATGAGTAGGTGAATTTTTATAACACTAGGCCGGGAGGGTTAAACTGAAGGCTTAAACCTATATAGACAACGAGCAACAAACCTAGACGGATCGACAAAAAGTTCAAATGACTAAAATTTAATCAGGTAGTCCCTTGACCATTGTCTACATAGTAGCTACCTAATGAAAACAATTGAAAAATTCGAAACCGTTTGCGAATTATGATGTATACAGGTAGACAGACGGGCAGAAAGTTAATAAGTAGAAGAAGGGGTTGGAAAGACTCTTGATAGATGAATCAAGTAACTTTCATAGCGAAGCTACTCTGAACATTTCAAGTTGATGTGAGTTGATATTGAATCATGATTTTTTTTCTCTTTTCGACAAGCGATGGGTCTGCCTTTTGGATCAACATGTACCTACATTCTTCCGTTGAAACGTATTTCATCCAGGTGCCCTAGTTCTTGGAGTTAAAAAAAGTGTTTGAAGGCTCTCCAGTGATAGCGTTTTAAAGGGCTTTTAGAGTGTTGACATGCTTAAACACTATTCATTAATGGTGACATTTATATCTGGCAACATAAAATCCTATCTGGGTAGATGGAACAAAAGTTATAAGTGAAGGTCAATTTTTTCTGTTTTAGCAGGATGCATGCTTGCTATGTTCTCTCTTTCTTCTTCCGTTCTCCAAGGCTATGTTAACAAACATAACCGCATTTTTTCGTGTTTTGTCTGTGAAAGTGTGAAGGAAAGGGAGCAGCTATCAGTCGGAAAAAATACAATACCTACCTATTTGTAGCAGTAATTTATTAATAAGTAATGGATAACTGTTCCATTATGAAAGAGGTAAATAACCTAAATTTCAGGTTATCTATGGTATTGTTGTTGGTATCCTCATTCAAAGATGTTTCTTTATTTAAAAAGTAAATCAACTTATCATGGTTTGCCCACTTTGCTAAGTAGAAGTTGCATTTGAGTTACATTACAGATATCCAAGTTTCATTTATAAAAGTACTGTAATTTTTTGTACAGCAACACATTTTTCAGTTTTTTTAATAAAACAAAAGAAATACAGCAACTTTTGTTTTAGATCACTAGATCAAATGAAGCAATTCAGGACTGTTATAAACGAATTTCGGAACTAGAATCGAAATTGGCATCCACCGCTTTGCCAAATGTGAAAAAGGAAATTATATCCAGAGAGTTACTTGAAGTACGTAAATTGCTGATAACAAATGAGGAACACTTATCAAAATTACGAGGACAAAACAGAAAGTCTTTCATTTTGGTCATGTTTCTACTATTCTTTTGCTTTATTTTATATGTAGTGTATCGTTTTATACTAGATGGAAATACTTCGTATATAATTAATGAATATTAAAAAATATTGTTCTTTGTGTACACCAATTCACTTAACGTCGTCCTCGACCACGGCCGCGTCCCCTTGGCCCGCCGCGACCTCCCCTGCCCCGTCCGCGGCCTCGTGTTGCTCCACGTGCGGTATCCTTTTTCTTCGCCTTTGCTTTCGGTGTATCATCAATTAGAAGAGTTTCTAAAGGTAAACTGTCTGGTAGTATGTAATAGCGAATGTTATTGCCGCGCACCGTGATCGTATCCATGGTTAACGGGGGCTGATTTTTTTGGGTGACTTTGACCGCTTTTAAGTGTGTGTTCATGGCTACATCGACGCCTGTAATTGTGCCAATGATTACGGTTCCATTTTTTAACTCGATCGAGACGGTTTCGTGGCTTAGCTTCATCAAAAATCTGCAATTGGAGGTTAAGTTGCCGGTTTGTGTGTAAGGGTAGAGTGCGTTTGTGTTTACCTGACCAGCTTCATTTTTTCTGTATTATTTGATAAATTGGCGTAAGTTATTCCTAATTTATTAACAGAAATTATAGTAATTATTAAAACGTTGCTGTAACGACAACAAGCGTGTTATGGTTTGTAGCAAAACGCGGCACGACATCTATTGGTATTAAAAAATACTCTTCACAAATGAACGTGCCTAAATCAAAACCTGACTCAAGTTTTTTTCAAATTTGGGGCCGTCTTCAAAATTATTTGACCACCATGTAACTTTTTTAACCAAAGAAGAGTGCCTCGTTAATCCGCATACAGCTTCTGTATCGCCATTTTACGTTAACCCCAGTTCCCCAGACGGCGATTATTTCCTGTTTTCAGTTCAGCTTATTTCCAACTCTCGTTCTGGGGTCTGATGATGGTTATACTTACCAAAGATAGTATGATCTTTGTACTTACTTAGTTTGCATTTTTGACTTCCGTTTTCTTGAAGAAAGTCGACTTGTGTTACATCGACCGAAAAATGAATAGCTCTAAAAGATTGTTATAACTTGGAAAGCTGCAAAATTTTTCTCTCTCCACTTTATAACAATAATATACTAAATATAATCAAAGGTTTCAATATGGCAATGAAGAGGGATTTTTGTGACATACTATTGAAGCAGGTACCTCCAAAAGAAGTGCTATCCATGGGCGCTCACCTTGATACGCCACTGTTGCATGGGAGTCAGTTTTAGTTTTAGATGCGAGTCGGAAACGAAATGAGCCTTATTTATTGTTATTAAATTACTTCAAACTCAATTAGCACAATTTAAGATTTAAGAGTCCTAAGAAGCAGAATTCTAAGAGGATCGCTTTTCGCGGGAAAAAAATAATGTACTTGTTTCGGCGGTTTAGGGTATCTTACGCGTAGGTATCTTGGAGTTCAAAGCAATTGGAAGCAATTAATTATCGAACGTACGTTTTGTAGGATGTTAGAACAGCAGCAACAGTTTGTTACGTTGCTATTTTTGTACAAGAATAATTTTTGATTATAAAAAAAGATCCCTGGTCGAGTAGCTGTGGATAAGTTCGCAACAAAACAGCGCATGCGATGTTATTATCGTAGATATGGCGATTGTTGAGTTTCGCCAGTAGTTGTGTTTAAAGTATTTTAATGATTATTAGGATTAAAACTTATTAACAGCCTTAAAAATTTCTTATACAGTATACAATGTAAGTCGTACTGCCACTTTATATAGCGTGTGTTACGAATTTTTTTTGAGTGTGTATGAAATCATTTAATAAATTCTAATATTTACATTTGTTAGTCACTGTTATATGGTGCTTTTCTTGTTACATTTATTAGGATTAAGGTGCAATATCACAATGCATTGTCCCTTAATAGGTACGTTTAGGTTTATTATTATGTAGTTCACTGTCCAAAAAGGGCTGTTTGTAATTGTTAAAAAAACGTTTGGTGGAATGACTTCTGCACTTACAGTGTTGGACCAAAACATTCAGCAGTTCAGGTGAGTTCAAACTTTTTGGTAACTTTCTGCTAGTATAAGTTGAGGTGTTTTCGAATTAACCACTTTGTACCTTGAATTACTTATCTATTTGCATAAAAAAATCGGGTATTTTGTTTGTTATTTTTATTACTCAGTCGGCAACTTTGACTGAGGCGGAATGATAATAGAGGGTGCTTCTGCCTGTATAATTTTTAAATTTCCGTGTAGGCGGGCTCGTTTTATCTACACGTGAGTCGAAAAAATCAATCCCACATGTCGGTTTGCACGTTTCCTGCCGGACGTTTAAATAATTATCGACTTAATTGCATTCTGCTGCAATGGAGTCAGAGATGAAGCCTCGGGTATCTGTAATTAGCAGTTAGAAACAACCAGAACACCCTAATCGATATTGTGGCGAAAATTCAAATCGACTTTTCAAGTTATAATTGCGTGTGGGTATGGGCACGTTGAGAAGTAAAACATGCAAACTATAGCTGCAAAACATGTTGCATGACTGAATAAAGTTTTCAAAGTGCAAATCGGATTTTTGACCTTGAAAAACCGATTTTGGTCTCACTTATAGTTTTATTCACGGTACGTTAATGAAAGGAAGGCTCATATCTGGAGAGCCTTACAATACATATATTCACGATTCAACTATGGACGGAACGAGGGACGGAAGTAGCTAATTAACTGGGGGATGTCATGGGCCAGAGGTGATTAAGAGGCAGCAAAACAACTGTAAACTCGCCTTTCATTAAAAACGTCCCTCTGAAATCTACGCGTACGGCCATAGGGGGTGACGTGGCAGCTTTCGGTCTGCCTGGTCGTATTTTTCGCTCTAGGGCGAGCTCTAGGGTCTTGTAAATGGAAACATCGCAACTACGCCTTATCCACAGCCATCTGTAATTAAACAGATAACTCGCCGGGGGGCCCGCGCCCCGAGCTAGCGCAAAACTCTCCTGGATCTCGCTGAACACTCCGAGTGGGGTAGAGTGCGTCGTTGGAGTCTTGGAGTTGACATACTGAAGACCTGTTTGAGGGAAGGGTTACGACTAGGGACTCTCTGCCAAGAGACCAATAGAATTTTGAGATCTATGTCTCTCATTGCCCTCGTTACAACACTTGTATATGGAAATCATCCCCTAATTGTTTGTGTTAGCAATTTTTCGTATTGGGTGGTTTTTGGTCGCTCAACTGTTTAATCGTCTGGAGCGAGGTCTGGAGCTACCCGGACTGCGGCATAGGCGTGGAAGCTGTTGTTATTTTCTTTAAATCTGTTCTGAACTGAACATCTTGGCCGCCGGCAGGAATCAGGTCGTATTTGGGGTGATACGATTCTAGGCGTTTTGGTTTCCAGGCCGATTGCCGTTTCCTTTGATGGTGGCTTGTTTGATCAAATTTTCCAGAGGTTCCTAGGTTCTGCATAGTCCAGCGCCGCGGTTGCACAAGGGTGTGCCGACAGCTTCTGGCTTCTTGGCGGACCAGATTTCTTACTCGCAGTATCCCGTATTTTCGTTGAACGCCCGAGTCGAATGCACCCTTCCTACCTCTCTCGCCCGAATAGGCGGAGAGCTCTTTCAAAAATATCCGTCCTTTGTGCTGGATTAAAAAAATCTGCATGGAACGGGAATCGATCCCGGGCCGCCCGCCCGTGTATCAAGCACAACGATTAAACGATCGAAGACAGCTAGCATCCGTCCAGACTGACCACCCCTCCATCTGTTTTACAACTCAGGGGCTTGAAATTTTGAAAAAAATAGCCCAGAGATCTTACTAACATTATACTGTACGGAATGGCCCGAAAATTGGATCTCCATCCCCACTTTTGGAGGGTATGGGAGCAACTTGGTAATTTCAAATGGGTACCCAAATTTTTTATTCCATATCCCGATTCTATTAAAAAAAGCATGAAGAATTTATTCGTCGTGGTAACAGATAGCGCTGTAATAACGACAACTAATTGCAGTAAGTGTGTATCTTTGTAAATATATCTTTAAAATTACAATTTTTTTTCAAAATTAATTAAAGCAAAGACTATCCTCCTCCAATTAAAGTAATTATCTTGAACATTGGTCCGTACTTATGTACCTCCAGACATTATGCTTTTTACTTGTGCATTCCCGTACCACATCAAGAAAATGGGTAAGATAACTGCATTAAGTCCATATCGAATTTTAGTTGCTATCGAGCTGCCATTATTGCACAAAAATTGCACACATTGCATAAATATTGGACACATTGCACAGAAATTCCACCCATTGGGGGTATTCCTAAATATGATGTAAATGCGAAAGGGGCAAATTCTTTGGCTTATTTTATGACTAAACCATTGAATAAGCACCTTAAAGAAGTATAACTACATAGGAAAACCTGAAATTGGTGTAAGGTGTGTTGCATACACTGCAAAGTGGTTAATTACCACAAATATTGAAGGATGTGTGCCCTCGGGCGGTAAATAATAACTATTTTAAACAGGGAAACCAGTTATACTTAGGGGACCTTTATTTTCCTTGTTTATAAGAGTTGAACAGTGTTGGCATATTTACCAGATCCTTATATGGAGCTAGGTAAAGTTTGATTGTTTATTATGTAAAGATAATGGCCCTCAGAACAGTTCTTGTTGTTTTCTTATTAGATTAAACTACATTTTTTACTTTATTTATTGTTCCTTATGATCTTACATTTCAGATTGATCCTCCCTTATATAATATTGTTATTGGCATTGAATAAAACCTTATTCAATATTTTAATCTAGTTTATTCAAACTCAAAGCGCTTGCCAAAAATCTGGCAACATTGGAATTTTAAAGAAGTAAAGAAATCTGCAAAGTCGGTAACTAGCTTTAAATGTGTGGTTCACATTCCCCCACAACAGAGGGACGACAGAATCCTTGGCAGATTTTCTTATTTCATCAGTTAACACGGGCGTTATACTTCTTTAAGGTGCTTATTCAATGACTAAACGTTCATATAAACGTAGGTCCGCAAACGCCTCGATAAGGATATACAGGGTGTTATAATTGCACGATTCACAAGATACATTTTCAAATGCGAACATTGAAGACTAATAAAAACAGGAGATTTTCCATAATGCGAGGGTCGGAAATTTGAGTTTCATTTAGTAACAGAAAATTGTTTTTTTTTTTAAATTTTTTTCTCGATAACCGTCGCAAATACGAAAAAATTGCAAGGGACCACAAACTTTCCAAACAAATCAGAAAATCGAAATTCTTATTTTACAATCTACCAGTGCATCGAAAATCAGTTCAGGGTTGGAAAATGGAGCATCCCTTCAAATTTCTGCAAAATATCTATTAAACCGCAGGAGATGCTGAAGTTTTAACACTCTGTAGATCGGTAACGAAGCGTAAATGTAATTGAATTGAGGAGTTGGTCACCACTTATTTTAGGGGACAAAGATTTCCTTCATTGCCTAAAAATTGACACAATTTTCTTTAATTTTCCCTTGAATTTTCCCAATATTTCTACTCGTATTTCTATCATTACTTACCTTAAATTTCCCCAAATATACACAGAACGTTACTTCCCTATAGAAAATTATTCCCTTAAAATTTACTAGAATTTTCTTTAGATTACCTCGGAGGTTCCTTATTTCCTCAAAATTTTCTAATATTTCCCTAGAATGTCCTTCGAGACGTCCTCATTCCTTTGAAATTTCCAAAAATTGACTAATATTTCCCAAGAATTTATTTGTATTTATTTATTTATTATTCCTCTCGTTCTGAGCCCAATTACAGAGTGAGCCGCATAATACTTTTTAGAGGTGCCCCTGTAGAGGTCTTAAGTTGTCTTATACTGCTCCAGTATTTACCTTACGAATTAGGAAAACCCGAGGGAAAACCTAATTCTCCGGCAGACTGCTCGAAACTGATTAAGGAAATTCTTTTCACAATAATGCACGCGATGGAAAAATGTTGCCAGCTGGCAACACCGTTTAGTTTCGCTATTCTGAAATTTTCTTTAGGTAGTGCTAACTTTGTGCTACATTTGTGTTGATACTAATTCTTCTAATTAAAAAAACGTTTACAATGAAATTATTTTGTGCTATGTTTGCATCTTTTGAAAATCATCCACGAGGAGGAAGGATGTTGCAAATTTCCCGGATTCGAAAATTCGATAGACTAATGTTTTGTCCACTTTCCATAACCCTGTTCGCCAGCTTGCAACAACGCGAGTTTTTCTTTCATATGTGATTTAGTGAGTCCAGTGCCCATGAACAATTAGTCTCAATTAAGAATTGTCAAAATAATTCGTTTTAAAAATTACGTTGATGGCACTTTTAAATTCAAAATTACACACTCAAAAATCAACCCTTACGATCCAGAACGACATTTACTTTTTAAGCACCAAATCGATTCAAATATGTTTATGTTGACTGCGTTCAGAAAGACGTCTGTTGCTGAAATGTATTGCTTTTGTTCCACCTGAGCCACCCAATTTAATACCATCCCGTCTTCAGATATCGCTATTAACTGAAGCGTCACCTTCACCCACTTTTTTATTTTTATCGCGAAAATGTAATGTTGCAACAAGAGGTGCATGCATTTACACCGCGGCTCGATTTGATTTAGAACCAATAATAATTATGGTAATTAAATTCCTGACAATTAGCACGCGATCTTCAACACGGAAAGTACTTCTTTTTTTTAAGGGGGATTAATTTAGCCGCTGCTCGACGTTGATTTAAAGTTTAACTAATGGC